AAAACAAATATATTTATAAATTAAGATTATTATTGATTGCAAAGAATTTTGCTAAAATTTTGAATGGGCTGGGATTCTCCATACTCAAGATACATTTTATATTTGTTGGACGTGGAACTTTTGATGGTAGCAAATCATAAAGCGAAATGGATAAATTTGAACAATTAAATAAAATATGATCCGTAGTTCCTTCCTCAATGCCACAATCGCAGAGGGGGTTGTCTTTAATTTTAAATTTGGCAAGTCGAACCGGCGTACACACATGTCCAATTCTCAGGCGACAAATAATTGAAATCGTTTTTTTACTTATAAGCTTTTCCTTAAAGAACCAGGGAGTACTGGGGATAGTTCTCTGAATTTCAAAATAATACTTTCCCGCTCTATTTCTAGTATTTTCCCAATCAACATTCCATGACCTCATTAAATGTTCATGTGCTAGTACAAAGAGATCGTGATGAAAAAGTTTGGAATATTTTAAAGAGCCAGTTATAACAGCTTGCTTAGCACATGCATCAGCTGTCTCGTTCCCAGGAATACCACAGTGTCCCGGTATCCATGCGAGGGTAATGAGCAGCTTCTTAAGATGGCACCTATGCAATGCTTGTCTTATTTTAAATATTATTGGAAATTTATTTTTAGAACGAAACGGATGTGATATTATAGACTGTAAGCAACTCTGTGAATCTGTGAAAATGATAGTTTTGTTAAAGTTATGAGATTCGGCAAATAGGATGGCCTCAAGGAGAGCTAAAGCTTCTCCTGTAAATACAGAAGAGAGAGAGGGAATTTTGAAACTTAATACTAATCTGTGAGCGGGAATCCATACTGCTGATCCAACTGGATCATTAACATGCTGCTTGGACACATCAGTGTACATAGAAATCCAGCCTTTATATTCCGATGCTAATTTCCGTGCCATTGTACGCATGGCATATGGAGAGTCTTTGTCGATCCCAAAATCAAGAAGAATGATCGGCTCAAAAATAAGTGATTCAAAACTATTTTCAAAAAGAGGAAGACGAGAATACCGTTCTATGGGAAGGGAAGGAGTATGGAATTTTTTGTAGCTATGGAGGATACAAGAGACACCTACCGATGAACTGGAGGAAGTACTAGAAACTTTCAACAATATTTCTAATTTTTTAAGTAAAGGATGGGATGCACGTTGTATAACTTTAAGGAAAAATCGATCACTCAAAAATTGCCTACGCAGATACAAAGGGGGATCAACGCATTCGATCTGGAGACTATTGATAGGAGACGATTTCATGGCACCTATAATAATCCGCAAGCATTTTGATTGAACTTTAGAAATTTTATCAAGTGGCAACTTATTACATGGGTCTAAAAGAAAGGAACCATAATCGAAATGACAGCGGACTAGGGCATTATATATTAATTTTTGAGTGAATGGATGAGCACCCCACCATACACCCGAAAGAGCACGGAGAACATTGACCCCTTTCTCGCATTTATTTACAACACTATGGAAATGAGGAGTTCCTGATAATTTAGAATCTAGAATGACGCCTAAAAATTTTACTTGGTTATTCATGGGAATAGGGACATCTTGAAAAACTATTTGAGCTGTAGGAATGTTACGCTTTCTGGTAAACACTACACTGCAGCATTTAGAAACTGATAGTGACAAGCCGTGATCCATTAGCCAATCACCAAGATAACTTAACGCAGTATTGAGACGAAAGCAAGCTTCCTCGATTGAATTCGATCTTATATAGAGGGCTACGTCATCTGCATACTGTAAGACTTGACAGAATGAATCTACAACACTCTCTAGGTCATAAGTATAAATACTATATAGCAGGGGACTCAAAACCGACCCTTGAGGTAGACCATACCAAACAGACCTGACTATAGAAGGCGCTCCATGACATTTGATTTCGATAGACCTAGCTGAAATAGAATTAACTATGAATCGAACCAACTTCTCAGGAACACTCAACTGAATCAATTTACGTCTGAGAATTGGAAGAAGGACATTATCATAGGCGCCTGCTATATCTAAAAACGCAGCAACTACATATTGCTTTTTCTTAAAAGCTATACGAATATCAGTCGTAAGTATACTTAAATTATCCAGAGTGCTGAAACCCTTTCGAAAACCAAACTGAGATTTAGCCAAAAGACCTTGACTCTCAAAAAACCACTCTAGACGATTCCTGATCATATGTTCTGACACTTTGAAAAGGGTGGACGATAACGCAATGGGCCTATAAGAATTATAGTCCAAAGGGTCTTTGCCAGGTTTAAGCAGAGGGATAACTAGTTGCTTATTCCAGGATTCAGGGATGATACCTAAATGGTAAAAGGTATTAACTAATTTCAAATAATATAGTTTGGTTTCTTCCCTCGACTTAACAAGAAACGAATATGGAATACCATCTATACCGGGGGCAGTATCTCTAAGACCTCCAAGTGCCAAGTCAAGTTCCCGCAAGGTGAAAGGATTATCTAAATTACCAACAGATGGGATGATGTCATATGTTTTTATAGGAAGATAGTCACAGTTCGGAACAAACGAGGGAGCGAGTTTATCAGCAAATGAGGTAACCCATCCTGATGGATCGTTAGCTGACACAGATTTTGACCTCATAGAACCACGAAATCGATTCATTTGTCTCCAAACCATGCCTGCGGAAGTGCGAGGAGACATGCTTTCGCAAAACCTAGTCCAACCAAGTTTCTTTTTTTGAGATAAAAATTTTTTGGAGTGAACAGCTATTTGTTGGTACTGAGAGAAGTTTTCTTCAGTCATAGACAGATTGTATTTCTTCTCTGCTTCCTTTCTCTTACGGATAATGTCTGTGCATTCGGAATCCCACCATGGTGGAGAATTTCTTTTAGTATCGTTGATTTCGTGGGAATATGAGAATTGGCAGAACTGAGAAGAGTTTCCGTGAAGGCTTCATATGCAGTCAAACAACTTGCATTGGAAATCTCAGGTAATGAATTTAATTTATTTTTAACTTCTAAAGAAAAACATGTCCAATCAGCTTTATTTAAATCAAATTTCAAAAGGGGAGTACTACTGAATGTTGTGAGCGTACGGTCAGGTAAAGTTAAAAGAATGGGAAAGTGATCACTACCAAAGGTACTACTTAAAACATCCCATAAAAAAAGAGAAGATAGACGCGAAGAGCAAATGGATAAGTCAACTGCACTCTGGTTCTGTGATGGGGAGTTTCTCCTTGTAAGTCTACCATTGTTCAAAACACATAAGTCCAGCTCATCTAATAAATCAATAATTAAACTGCCAAAGGTATCGGAGTGATAGGAGCCCCATGACTCATGATGAGCATTGAAATCACCCAAAATAAGCACAGGCGGTGGTAAAGCAGAAATAATTACCCGGAGTTCCAATAAAACAGATACATTTGGGTGTGGGATATATAGCGAAAGAAAAGAAATATTATTTATTCTAACAGCATTAATTAGATCCCTATTATGAACAGGAAGTGGGACTTGAGTAAATAGTAGGGAGTTACTAATAATGAGAGCACTTCCTGCATAACCGTCATCTCTGTCATCGCGCAGACATAGATATCCAGGAATATTGAAAGAAATATTCCTAGGAAGCCACGTCTCCGAAATGGCAAAAATAAGAGGAGAGTACTTATATATAAAATATTGGATTTCATGCTTTTTAGAACGAATACTATTGCTGTTCCACTGAATTATATTCAGAGGAGCCATTTTTGGTTAATAAATTTAAAAGAGGTAAAATTTTCGGAGCTACGTTGGGCGGTAATGGTACGTCACTGAATTTCGACAAAATATTAGCAACAAGCAACCACAGAAGATCAAGACAATCGTCATTCGGAACTATATCATTAGTACTCGAGTTACTAAGAGTACATCCATTAGGAAGAGTTGGAGGACAATTCCTAATTATGTCCTGGTGAGCCTGCTTGTCATATTCCTTCCCCAGGGCAGAATGTTGTCGAGGAGAGAGGAAAACAGTCTTTTTATAAGAACGAGAAGTCAGAGGTGAGGGTTGAGAATGCACAATTTGAGGTACGGTTGTAGTCGAAGAATTTACTGACTCAGAGTACAACCTTCTTACATTGGGATATAAAGCAGAAGCTTCTTGGAAAGAAATATTATCTTGAGTCATTCTAATTTTGATCGACTTTTGGCGACACTGTTCAGGACAGATCTTGTTCGTAGCAAAGTGTTTACCAGAACAGTATAAACACGAAGCAATATCTTCTGTAATATTACAACTCTCTCCCATATGCGGCTGCGCACAACGATAACATCTCGGTTTAGATCGGCACTGAGATTTAATATGTCCAAAACGGCAACAATTGTTGCATTGGATAATTGGGAGTTGATATGGGATAACGGGAATAGAGGTATAAAAAGAAAAAACTCTTTCAGGGAGATTTTGTCCTTTGAATGTTAAAACAACTGTTTGGGTAGGGATCCAAGAAGCATGACCATCTAAAACTCGTTTTCTATTGAGGCGTCTGGCTTTTAGAACCATCCCACAGTAATCAGGAATAACTAAAGAGTCGACCAGCTCGTCCATGCATATTTCCGTTGGAATGCCTCTAATGACACCCATGCGTGTAACATTAAAAGTAGGAATTACTACAGTATAATTGTAACGAGCTAATAAAGGATTTATTAAAAAGTTATTAGCATCCTTACCAGTTTTAAATTCAACAGCAATACGGTTGCGGCCAATTTTTTTGACACCATCCTTAACTATATTGGTGATTTTGTTTTGCTTTAGGAATTGCCCGAAAATAATTGGTCGAATAGTAGTTCCATTTGAAGGATTTGACTCAATCTTTGAAACGTGTATAATAAATGGGCCCTTATCAAGATCAGAATAAGACTTATGACCCTCTTTTAATGACGGGTGTGTATATACTGATTGACTTGTTGATGTTGAAACTATGTTAATTTCATTTTGTTGCAACTTCAAAGAATCAGTAATAACTTTTTTAATGGGCTCACATTGATTTTCGAATTCAATACGTCGTTTTTGTGCCGGATTGGCTAAATATTGGTGGTGATAGCTCCATCGGAGATTGAGTCAACTCCAACTCTCCATCAGGAGGATCCGGAGGATCCGGAGGAACCCGGTCCATTGCTTATACAGAAAACAAAATTAAATATTAATTAAGCACTTAAATAAATATACAAACGTAAACAGGTAATAATCCACAGCAACAAAATAGCGAGATAGCACAACAAAGAGCAAGCAAAATGACTAAAATAATCAGAACACAAAAAAGACGTGTATCAACCAACACACCGTTTTGACATTCCCAACAAAATCTTTTGAATGAAAATATCAGTGAAGTGAACTGAACAGTGTTGTCATATGGTATTATGACTAGTGATGTACCGTGCCCGGGCACACTCCCAAGGACTGGAAATTTTGTTGGAAACATTGCCGGCAACGCTCCCAAAGTGGGAATTTACTGGGATTATTGGTTAAATTTTCCGAATTTTCAAAATATTTCATTTGAATTTGAATTACTTTATGGTTACCTGTGTACTGGTTACGAAAATTGTCAACTTTATATCATAATAACGAATATTTCCAGGTCACTGGCAATGTTCCCGGCAAAATTCCCAGTAATATTTCCAGTTTATTGCCGGCAAGGTTCCCAAGAAACATCGTTTAAGGTATCTGTTTAGTGTGGAATATTTTACGATTAAGGTAGATATGGAATTAAAATAGCTTAAAAGAAAATGATTTATTTTTCATAATCAACGTATAAAAATAATAAATAAAATAGCGTTAACAAATTATAAAATTAAAATAAACAGAACAACGTTTTATTAATGTTTTTTATGCATAATTAATATATAGTAGGATACTAATATTATAAAGAGGTAAAGTTTCAAATTTTGTTTGTAGGGGCTGGGGGGGGGGGGGAGGGTTTCTTTGGAATTATTGATTCAAGCATAAAAAAAAATTTCTCCTACGAGAAGCTACACCATATGTGGGTGACATAGGCTATAATTTCAATGTGCGATGTTGCAAGAATATAATTAGATATACATTTATGAAATCATACAACATTAATAACTTTAATACTAGTCTAAATTACTACTCTAAATTAAGTGGATCATCATCATCATTGGCTGTAAATCTATCGGAATGGTTATCCTCTTCAATGATTTCTGTAACCGATCTAAAATCCACTGGTTCTAAATCGAAGTCATCATCAGAATCACTTATTTCTAAATTGATGCTATTACTTGTTTCGTGTTGTGAATTTACGCTAGAGTCAGCTTTTTCGACAGAGTATCTAGTAGCGTTCTCATTCATGAGCTTCCAGTTATGAGATATATAGCAGATTTTTCCTGCTCTTTCTGTTGTAAGTTTGTTTCTTTTACGAGAATGAATATGCGAGAATGTGGAAAATGACCTCTCAACCGAGGCTGACGTAGCAGGTACTGTTAAAATTTTAATTGCTATTTGACCTAATAATGTCTTTTCAAAAAAAGTCATCCACCAGTCTTTTGGATCGATTGTATTGGCAGCTTGCCAAATAATATTTTTTCCATATAGCCTATTTCGACATTTATATTCTGATAGTTCCTGTAGCACATTAATAGATTCATCGTTAGTAGTGGCCAAATTCATAATAGCATTACAGCCTTCTAAATAATCTTCTCCGCTAAGATTGGAACCACGATATTTTGGATCTAATATAACAGCTGCAAAATGCAAATTATTCAAAGCATTCTGTTTTCGTTCAAGAAACTTGCCTCGGAGTTGTGGTAAATTATCTTCTAAGACATCCATTGCGTTTCTGCTATTTAAAAGCTCTTCGATATCTAATAACGCTCCATAGACTAAATGTATCGTACAGTAATCTCCCTCAAGCTTAGAGATCCAATGCACAATTGGCGTAAAAAATCTGATATGATTTTCAATCGCAGCCCATTTTGCTTCATTTAAGATATTTTCCTTATAGGTATCCAATTCTCGAATGTCACTGATCACCATAGTCTGAAGTATAACTTTAGCTTTTAAAAAGTTTTCCAAACAATGTAAATAACTTCCCCATCTAGTTTTGACTGGTAATACGAGCGCTACATTTATAGATTTATCCTCAGAGAGTCTTTTGAATTCTGATTTTAAAATATGTGATTTTGAAATTTTTTTGACAACTTCAACGACATAGTGAAATATTGCTAACACCACATTGACTTTTATCACGTCTCCTATTAATAAATTTAATGTGTGTGCCAGACATCCAATCCAGGTGACATTTGCATACTTTTCGTTCAAAAGTCTTCCACATTTAACCATATTTGTAGCGTTATCAGAAATTATTACAAAAAATTTATGTGACCCAATTTCCTCAAGTACTTCCGATACTTTGTCACAAACATATTCTGCTGTATGTCTGTTGGTTTTAGTGTCAATGAACTTATAAAAGAAAGGTTTTGGAGTATATATGATTATGTTCATTATTGAATCATTTCTTAGATTCGACCAACCATCAATAGCCAAGTGAAGAACTGTAGCAGAATTAATTCTCTCCATTATTTCTAACTTTGTTTCTTCAAATTCTAAGGTCAATAATGACGATGCTAATATGCGTCTCGTTGGTGGCTTATAATCAGGCTTCAAATTCTGCAAAGCTTCAACCCATAGCGGGTGCTCAAGCAAACTTAGAGGCTGTCCAGTCACAAAAACCGCTTTCGCGAATCCACGATGTGCTTTATTCTACAAGAAAATAATAAGGAGTAAATGTAGCAAAATGATAAGCGTTTTCGGTTTTCTTACATATATTGAAAAGCTAGCTGAGGAATCAATTACAAAAAATCCCACATTCACTTATTAAATTAAATCAGCAAACAAGGTTAGAGGAAAATATATTTAAGGAGGAGAAATCATAAAAAAATAAATTATCTGTATAAATACTGCAGTTACTTGCTTACAGTGAAATAATTCTTAAAAAGACAATTTTAGTATTCAGATGTCAGCGGATCATCTCATAAAATATTCAATTATTAGATCATTCTAAAAAGCAAACCTATTGTAAGCAAGATGATCAAATTACTAGAGAAACTGTTTAAAGAGTAAAATATATCTGTATATACATATTACAGACTATATAAAATATATTTTCGTGTAATCGAGACAGCATTGATTGAGCATTGATAATGAAAAAATAAAAACAATAAAATAGCTTACTGTATCAACTTAACTTTTAGTTTTCTAAATAAACTACACATACGTTAATTATATTTGATTAATTTTGCCTAAAAATATTACGTATATATAACTTACATTGTTAAAGTCTGCATTCCCTTTTTCTTCAAATGAAGAATGGCATGATTGTGGTGCTATGTTCTCTTTTAGTATTTTATCCACCTCCTCTTTTTTGTTTTTTAAGTTGGTACTTATCGTAACGGGGCATTGTTTACATGCGTTTACAAGATGTCGCACAAATTTGGTAGCGTTCTTCAATGTAAAACTATGGCCACAAAAGCTACATTTATATGATTTACGCCCGCTTTCGTCTCTGTTTTCTTTGAAGTATTCGTGTACTTTTGATTTCTCACGCATTTTCGGTATACATAAACGGGAAACACTATCTTACTCTGCTATTGTTTAGATGCTACTAACATTCGGCGGCGCGGGGGACGCAGTTCAGTTAAGCAAGGGCCGGGAGCGCGGGGGTGAGGTGCAAACAATGTAGATGCTAGCGAAACGGGAGCTACAGTATTATGTTTGTTATAAAACGTTGAACTCGTCGTTGACCACAGCGCTGTCGTAGCATAGAGGTTCAGGCAAATAAAACTAAGTACAAAGATAATAAAGTTTTATTTCATTTAAGTTCTATGATGTGACACCGCTGCGCTCGACGAGTTGAGGATGTTTTTAACATACAGGGAGTGTAGAAGGCGTTACGTATTGAAGTTAGAATCATAACGAGGCAGAGATTTAGTATGCTTATTCATCTATTTAATACGATAAAAAGTCCTGGGAACTTTCGGCAATATTCCCAATGTGCCCGGGAAACTTCCGGGCATATTGGGAGTGGAAAATTTCCGGCAGTGGCAATATTCCCAGATGTACATCACTAATTATGACCAAAGAGTAGATTATGACTTTCCCCCAAACCTCACTGCAAATCTGGTATACAAAAGAAACAAAAAAATATTTGTCCTTTTAACTAATTATAATATAATACAGTTAGAAAAATCATTCATTTTTTTTCTTCTTTTTTTCTTCACAAAAGCCGAACAAGCTTGGCAACACTGGGAAATTGCTGCAAATAAAGAAGTAGGTATTTACAAAATAAAAATATGTTCTTGAAATCAAACTAGATGTCACTAGCGGTGTTTAAATCTTGTCTATGATGTTCATTCCAATTTCGTTTCTGACGTAATAAAAGAAAATTGAGTATGGAAAATTAATAAAACACGTTTCGTATTTCTTACAATATCTTACTTTCAAATTAATTTTATTTTATTTGAATCGTAAGTTTAAGTTATTTATTATGTTACGTGTTAAGGATGTTTGGTTTATATGTCAACATTAGTGAGATGAGCCCATTTATTAGTTGCTCGTAATATCAATTGACTCGATTCATCCGAATTCAGGTTTGGAATCAAGAAGGAAAAGCGGAGCGCTGAATCCTGCTTGTTTTTTTTATGTGTATATTTCCATATGAGCCATAATGCATCCACAAAACATAGCACTTGTGAAAGTCGAAAACTTTGCCAACGTTTTACAAAATTAAGGCGGGAGATCTTTTATTGAGAAGAACCGGCAAGAAACTAAGCATGAGCTGCTTTTTTCTCCCTGTTTTATTTCACACAGAGAAGTCTTATTGGAATGTGACTCAATTAGACTATGAAGTCACTTTCAATTATTATAATATCAGAAATCCTACATATTCATTGCCAAATCAATATACATATTCATAATAAAAAAAAAAGATAAAAAAAAATTCTGGCTTCGCACGGCTTGTGCATTTAGCCAATATACAAAATTAAGTAGTCCAGTGCAGACTCACCCCCACTCGCACCCGTTGACGAGCTTGACACATGAGTCAGCCATCGCTTCGCTGATCTACAACGTGTCCCAAAATTCAACGATAAGCGGGTGCCAAGAGGTAGACCTGCTCATGTGTACTTATGGAAAAATAAGAAAAAAATTATATCTTATTAATCTTTTTTATTATAAAATTAAATTCGAAAATCTTCGAAAATTTACACTTTTTATGATATTTTCAACTACCACGACTACAACTTCTCAATTATGTTCAATATTTTTTTGGTATCGGATACCTAAGTAGCACTACTATTCGCTACAACTCTTAAAAACACCAAAATGCCCGCAGTTTTTACACAAAAAACAATGAAAATGTATTTTTTCCTTAAATTTTCACAGATTTTTACGTTCCGTAATCTTTGACTTACGGTCTTGTAAAAAAAAAGTATGGACACCACTGTAGCAAGTTGTTTTTAAAATTGACTGAACTCATCAAGATTCCAAAATGGTATAACAAACTAAAAATCATACCATTTAGAATCAAGAACCAAAGTTGTGAGTAATAAATTGTACGTGTCTTTGTTATTTTGAAATTTAAAATTTAAACCAAGCTGTTCGTTTCGGACGGACGTTTCTCGTTGATTGCTGAATTTTTATTATGATGATTTAATTATAAATATAAGATTTAATAACTGATCATAGTTTTTTTATTCTTAATTTCGACTACAACTCTTTTGCACGTTATACTTTGCACAAACGTCATTCTAGCCCGAAGTCATGTTATTTACATATCGGGTAAGTATATAGATAATAAACGGGGTTTTCATTATAATTTTCATTTTTATGACCATTGTTGCTGATTAATAAACCCTACTCATTTATTCACCACACCTAATAAAAAAATATGATTGAGACTTGACGTAGTTTTGTTGCTATAAGTTCAACAAACAACTAATAGCAACAAAACTAAATAACCTAGTTGTTATTGTTTTCAGAACTTTTGTTAAATATTATAATGAAAAATTCCTAGAGCTACTAGGAATATATAAAAATGTATAAGTATTTTATATAAAAACTATTTCACGGTTATACTCGGTGGAACAGAACGACCGACACTCCCGAGGTTCCTGGAGAGTACTATTTGTCTTTAATATGATGTAAAAAAAAATTATAAGTCTAGGTCAAATAGTTTCGGAGATATTAAATTACAAAGTTTTTGAAAAAAAATGAGTGTTTTCAACCCTGAGTCAGCTGTTTTTGGGACGTACTAAGGAAAAGTTTTTAATCGGTCATTGACTTCTTCATTTCTAAAAACGAAATAAACTAGTTTGTGATTTATAAGACTGCTTTCATGCAAATTCTACCAGACAATCAATAAACAAGGCAGTCAAAATGCTTAAATCGATTTACAGACTAACAGCCGGTTTTGATTTGAAAAAAGTAGAAAATTTCTACTGCTTATTCTCAATAACCTAAGTTTTTTTAATTTCACAAGTCAAATAGTCCTAGTTTTATCAAACTGCTATCAACTGATCATCAAAAAACTAAAATCGGAAACGAAAACTAAGTGATGTTAGTTTGAGACGTTTAACTTTAAATTCTCAATTCAGAAACCGAGTGTAAAATTTCTAAAAATTATTGTAGAGAGATCAGTCTAACATTAACCTACGTTATTTTAAAAGAGCAGTTCTCCAAAAAAATTGTTTTAATGGGGTAATACTCCTTTAACAACGGGATCGTTAATTAAACTCGATAAACTCACAAATCTTCCAGCGATTCATCATTAACACAAATGAACTTTGTTTTAAAAACATTGAGGAATTTGTTATTAAAATAGCATTTAAAAAGAACATTAAAAAATGCGTGATATCAAAAGACGAATAAAAAAATGTGAACCGAGTTCGTCCCTCGATATCAAAGCCCCACCCGCCCGCCAGCCGCCAGGCGGCTTCATTATTCTGTCGGTATTTTCCGCCCGATCAGTCGCCGCCGACCTTTTGCGCTGGAGTGTTGTTGCGCATCGCTGCCGACGCACCGCTGCGAAGCGTCTTTTTTGTCGATTTTTGTTTTGTTCTAGTGCATTTTTAATTGAATTTTTGTTAATAAGATACTAGAGTGTTCGTCTTGAGTGTTAAGTTTAGTTTAGTGAAGATTGTGTTTAGTTTTGTGTGAAATGTGATGTGTTTTGCGCGTGCATGCACCGGCATGAAAAGAGCGTGCTTAGCTCAGTCTTCAGAGAGGAAGTGGACATTTTCAGCATCGACTATCATTAAGATATCGGTAAATAATTAAATTAAATTAATGTATTTCGCGGTTCGTTGTAATCTGCACACAATCGATATTGCGCATGCGCGTTATAGGGCTGTCAACACTTAGAAATTTAAAATTTTTACTCCATTTTTACATCTCCTCTATTTTTAAATATTTGTCAAATAAAATGAACGTTTGCATGTAACCTAACTTGAAACTTTTGGCTGTGTCGGTCATTTTGTTCCTCCCAGTATTATTGTATACCGTAGCTGAATGCCACTTTTAATAATTTCACAGCATTAATTCCATTGATTTCCATAACTTCTAAAAAAACCTTTTCTATGCTCAATTCCATTATGTTAGTGTCCATTTTCCTTTATACAAATGAAAAAGAAATTTATTCAAGGATTACTTTTATACGATGTTTATTATATTATGATTAGGATTATGAATACAGTATCAATTACCCATTTTTCCGTTCATTCTGTCATTCACATATTGTCTTTGTTCACTCTTTGGTAAAAAATAAACGGTCTAATTTGATTGATCTCATGCTCATAGTAAAACTTACACAAATAAATGTTATGTTGATTAATTCTTTATTTATCTAGTATTAATAGTAATATTTCCTAGATGCGTGATGCCGCAAATACCAAGATCCCGCGAGGTTAAACATTTCTAGTCCCGCAAATACCGAGAGTGGCTGCGGAATTGGAAGCCTTTTGCTCACGACATGCTTACCTAGTATTTTTCTCCATTGCACAATTTTCCACTTTACCACTCTGAGTAAGATTACTGTAAGTGCATAAATAGAATAACGAGAATTAGGCCCTTGAAATTTTGCATATAATTGTTAGAAGCAATTAAGTGTTCTATTTGTTTGTATTCTAGTTTGACCTAATACAAAAAGTCTTACATACTGGGTAAACTACATGGATTTTGTATTTGGATTGAGTACTAAACACCATGAGAATAACATTACCAAAAAAAAATTGTTTAATAAATAAAATTATGTTGGGCAATCCCAATATTTACATAAGCCTAGTACACTAGAACGTAATGAGGAAGTATTAAAAAAAACATTAGTTCCCGAAATCAAACTAGATGTCGCTACGGTACGTTCTTGTTTTCTCCATGACAACCTTACCGGTTTTCATTCATGTATAAAAGTAAATTAGTTTTCAAAACTCAATAAACAACTCATATTCAAATTTTTTGTTCTCACTAAAATGGCTACCATTGACATCGTCAAATTACCATAAATAGGTACAAATAAGACTAATAACTCTGGGAGATCATCGTCATCTTTCATTCATTTCATTTTCATTTTACATGTAGAAATTAATTTATTCACTTAACATTAGCAGAATTGTGCGAAATGCTCAGATAAGCCATTCATAAAAGAAGAAGACTAATACCTCTGGAAATTGTAATTAAAAATACACTATAATACTACCAATTAAAGTATATATTTAATTGCAAGAGATGGATAGCCACAACGGAGGTCACGTGTCTTGTTCTTTCCTTTTGCCATGATAAAAAAAATCTTCTTCTTGGTATGCCACTCCTATCGGAGGTTGGAAAGCATCATGGTTGTCTTTATTTTGGAGGCTGCTGTTCGGAACAGGGATGTAGTGCTCCGCCCAAACCAATCCCTTAAATTGCTAAGCCGGGAATGTCGCCGTCTTCCAGCACCCGTTTCCCTATAATTTTCCCCTGAGTTACGAGATGTAGAACTCTGTATTTCTTATTCCTCATAACGTGGCCAAAATAAAAGAGCTTGCGGCACTTGATGGTGTTAATAAGCTCGAGATCTCTGCCTATCCTTTGGAGTACTGATACGTTGGTCACTCTGTCTCGTCACGAGATCTTCAGAATCCACAAGTCGAGTGGGCCCCTCCTATTTTGCTAAGGACGTGCGCTCCAGAGTTGGCACCGGTCTTAACGAGCCTATTCCGACTCTCTTACTCATCTGGCGTCGTCCCAACCTCATGGAAGACTGCTTTAGTGCATCCGATCCCAAAAAAATGTGACCGCTCGAACCCGTCCAACTACAGGCCGATCGCTATAACCCCTTTGCTATCAAAGACAATGGAGTCCATTATCAACCGCCAGCTCCTTCGGTACCTAGAGGATCACCAGTTGCTTAGTGACCAACAATACGGATTTCATAGTGGTCGCTCTGCTGGCGATCTTCTAGTTTACTTATCACATAACTGGGCTAAGGCAATTGAAACAATGGGGGAGGCCCTGGCAGTAAGTTTCGACATAGCGAATTCCTTCGATCGAGTGTGGCACAAAGCTCTTCTATCAAAACTTCTCTCGTATGGGCTTTCCGAGAAATTATGTGCATGAGTCACTAGTTTTTTGGCAGACAGAAGCATTAAGGTTTTAATCGACGGTGAATGCTCAGACCTACTGTCTATTAATGCTGGTGTTCCCCAAGGATGTGTGCTATCGCCTACACTTTTTCTTCTGCATTAATATGCAGTCATTAATATGACATGCTGCAAATTAGCGGTATTCATTGTTATGCAGATGACAGCACGATGGACTCCTCCTATAACGGTTGTGCAGGTATTTCTCGGGAAAGCGTCATTGAGAGCCGGAATCAACTTGTGTCTGTTATTGATTCATCGTTAAAGGAACCCTCCAAGACAAAGGTTTGCGCGTTCACCGCCAAAAAACCCCATTTGTCGTATCACCTCGCTTTCAAAACATTCTCCTAACTGCCTCAGCCAATATTGAGATTCTCGGTGTCGACATATCGAGCGAGGTCCAGTTCCGTGGTCATTTAGAGGGCAAGGCTCAATTAGCATAGAAGCTTGGTGTGCTTAATAGATCGAGGCAGTATTTCACTCCAGCTCATCGCCTGCAGCTTTATAAAGCGCAAGTTAGGCCCCATATGGAGTACTGTTCTCATCTTTGGGCAGGAGCACCCTAATAACTTCTCCCTCTAGACCGCATTCAGCGGAGAGCGACTCGAATCGTCGACACTTCAAGTCGGCTTGATCTACTGGTCCTGCGTAGAGATGTTGCTTCACTGTGCATCTTCTATCGCATCTATTACGGGGAATGCTCCGAGGAATTGTTCGGACTCATACCTGCCGCTATCTTCCGCCATCGTTCCACGTGACAATAAATCCACGCCTATCATTAGGATGGTTGGAAGTTCTCAACTGTGCGTTTTCTAGAAGTTTCCTGTCTCGCACAATCAAACTCTGGAACAGTCTGTCGCCAGCGGTATTTCCGGACCAATACGACCTTCAAACTTTCAAGCGTAGAGCATATTCGTCCCTCAAAGGCTGGCAGCGCGCTTGTAGCCCCTCTGGTGTTACAGATGTCCATGGGCGACGGTAATCACTTACCATCAGGTGATCCGTCTGTTCGTCTGCCCCCTTTCCCATAAAAAAACAACCCACACGGTACACCCACATTTAAAAGCCTCCAATTTGTTAAGCGCACTTTATATTATCCGTCTATCATAATATTATCATTGAGTAGCTCGGTGGCGTAGTGGATATGCGCCGCGGCACGTGATCCTTGTCGTTAAGCAACTTTCGCAAGGGTCGGTCACGGGATGGGCGACCAAAACATTATTATCCCGAGCTACTCCATGCTTCGGAAGGCACGTTAAGCCGTTGGTGCCGGCTGCATTTGTAGTCGTTAATACCCGCCAATCCACATTGGGCAAGCGTGGATGGTCATTGCCCATGCTCCTTAACCATCCATAAGGAAGGCCTGAGCCACTGCAGTGGGGACGAAATAAAGGGCTGGTGATGAGATGATGATGATATTATCATTACACCAGCAAAAAGAAAAATGCTTAAAATTCACCAGTTCCCAGTGAATCCTAAGATCATGGTACTAGTGAATTTTTAAGCATTTTTCTATTTAATACAGTATTAGTAGATTTCAGATAACATCTAGTAAATACTTATTTTTCTAAGTGGTCACACTTACAAGAATAGGCATGTCAACCGTATAAAATTTACTCGATACCTACTCGGTTTGAAATTAAAAGAATCAATATTACTAAAATGGGATAGTTTCGAATCCCTCACCTATACCTTTATTTAAAAATGGATGTTTTCATTTAAAAGTGGCGGACTAAGGTGGGAGAGGAGGGGGGGGGGCTAATTCCGTTGGTCAAATCATAAATTCAGGTTGGAGACCCTGTAGACATACAGATAAGTAGATAAGTACAGTATGTAGACGGGGGGGGGGGGTAAAGACTTGCCCGGGCCTGATGGCGCCCCGGGTCTCTAATGGGGTTAGTCCGCCACTATCTCTAGAAGTCTAGATAAATCTTTAGCTCTCTTTACCCACGACAGACGCATCCGCTAATTTGAAGCGGTCGCGACCCGCGACTGTCTGCGTCGCACTGAACCAGGTTAGTTTCATGAAATTAGTACGGGCCTTAACTTCATGAAATAAGTACGGGTTAGCAACACTTAATCATTTAATACAAATACTTCACGATACTACTTATTTAATATCGAATAAATTCTTGTATTTATTTATTCGCATCCCTAAGGAAGAAAGAAGTGTCAAAAAAATACGAAACCGACCCGGCTTGTGCGAGCTGTGAGTTCTCTGCAAAGACTGCTTTGTTGGTGTTATTTAAGTGTCACTGTATAAAAAAATATATTTTATTTCTTCTTTTAATTTTTTCTAATACATATTGAGGAATACATCAATCGAATTATTTTAATTTCAGTATTATACACTGTTAACTATAATTTTTTGATAAAAGTTCCATTTTGATGTAAACTTGCCTCACCACGTGTGCACTGTGAATTAAAAATTCATATAATTTCAACTACGATATCAAACCGGTTTTAATAAATATAATTCTCTTTGCTATATATCAACAACGTACTCATTCCACTTCGACTATTAATAAAACATGTCTGTAAAAATGGAAGGAGATTTACGTGATGGCCTGTCTGCTGCAGAGATATTTTCTAATAGTGACGGTCTAACCTATAACGACTTCTTGTTATTACCTGGTTATATAGATTTCACTGCTGAAGAAGTTGATCTTACTTCACCACTCACTAAAAAGATAAAATTGAAAGCGCCGCTCGTATCCACACCCATGGACACTGTTACGGAGGCTGACATGGCTATTGCTATGGCTCTATGCGGAGGTATCGGTATCATCCACCACAACTGTACCCCAGAGTATCAAGCCAATGAAGTTCACAAAGTCAAAAAGTACAAGCATGGTTTCATTCGAGACCCAGTTTGCATGGGACCAAGCAACACAGTTGCTGATGTTTTGGAAGCTAAGAAGAAAAATGGGTTTACTGGATATCCCATCACAGAAAATGGTAAACTGGGTGGTCGCCTCATAGGAATTGTAACTTCTCGTGATATTGATTTTAGAGAAGGTGATCCACATTTGAGTCTTAAAGAAGTTATGACACCAATTGAAGAAATGATAACAGCTCAATCAGGTGTAACACTGCAAGATGCAAATTACATTTTAGAAAAAAGTAAGAAAGGTAAACTTCCTATCATAAATTCGACCGGTGAACTTGTTGCCTTGATAGCCAGAACTGACTTGAAAAAAGCTCGCAGCTACCCAAATGCATCTAAGGATTCCAACAAACAACTTTTAGTTGGAGCTGCTATTGGCACTAGAGAAGCTGACCGAGAAAGGTTGAAATTACTCATTAACAATGGAGTTGATGTTATTGTTCTGGATTCCTCACAGGGCAACTCGATATATCAAATAGAAATGATAAAGTACATCAAAAAAGTTTATCCTAACATTGAAGTCATAGGAGGAAATGTAGTAACAAGAATGCAAGCTAAGAATCTAATTGAGGCTGGTGTAGATGCATTACGTGTTGGGATGGGAAGCGGATCCATCTGTATAACACAGGAGGTGATGGCTTGTGGCTGTCCCCAGGCTACTGCAGTATATCAAGTGGCATCTTATGCAAAACAATTTAATGTACCTGTGATTGCCGATGGAGGCATTCAATCTGTTGGACACATTGTGAAATCACTGGCCCTGGGTGCTTGCTCTGTGATGATGGGATCTCTACTTGCAGGCACATCTGAAGCACCTGGTGAATATTTCTTCTCTGATGGTGTACGTCTTAAGAAATATAGAGGAATGGGTAGCTTAGAAGCTATGGAAAACAAAGACGGCAAGGGGTCTGCAATGAGTCGTTACTTCCACAAAGAGAGTGACAAACACAGAGTAGCTCAAGGTGTGAGTGGTAGTATTGTAGACAAAGGATCAGTCCTCAGATTCCTTCCATATTTGCAAACTGGAACTCAGCACAGTTGCCAAGATCTTGGAGCTAAATCATTAGCTCACTTACGTGAGATGAGTTATTCAGGTGATCTTAGATTCATGAAGAGAACACACTCTGCACAGTTAGAAGGAAATGTGCATGGTCTGTTTTCATATGAAAAAAGATTGTTTTGATAAGTGCAAAATAAATGTTTTTTATTGAGTTCAAAAGCACGTAATTAAAGTATCCATTTATTTTTCAATGGAAATACTTTTGTATCTGTATATTAAGCAAAATATAAAATTATTATTATTTTGTCATTTGGTTATTGTGTGTGTAACTTTATGACAATGGACCAGAGATGATTATATAATAAAGTGTAATAATTTAAATTATTGTTTATATTTTCATCCTAACATAGGTTCCGAGGTTGACATAATATTTGTCTCAATTACATATTTAATATTGCTCAAATAGATAAGTAACATGTTAATAATGCTTTATTTTAATCATACTAATTAATAAATGACTCTGTAACATTTATTAACAGTTAAAACTTTATTTAGATTATTTAATCACAGATGAACTATACAGAACAGGCTGGTTGAATCATAAAGCTTATTCATTGTTATAAACAAGGTACTTGCTACATTTAAATAAAGCCTATGGGATTTGTGAATGATTATTATAAAACACAAATATATTTTACTTTAATACATACTGTTTTTGTTCCGCGCCTACATGTATGTAAGAAGAGTGTTTTTATTAAAAATCCGTGATTACTAGGTAAATTTTATAAATGATTTAAATAATAAAAAGAAATTCACATTTTATAAAAATAAAAACAAAAAATTACGTTAATTAATCATATATTAATAGAATGATAATTATTATTCTTTTAATATAGGTATATAATTAATATATTAACTCTGCCAGAATAAGCAGCACCGTATCAGGGTAATCTATTCTGGTATGGCTTATGCTGAGGCAAAGTCCTGATTGGCCACCACCTTGTAATAAATTAAGTTGTTATAAAACCATTTCTGTGTACCTATGTGGTCAATAAATATATTTTCGTTCTTTCCATTAGCTTGGAACAAACCAAACATGCTCAGATTCGACGGGGATTGCTTTATTTCATTAAAAAGTTCCCATAGCCTTCTAGTTCCGTCATCAGACTTTATGATACTAACTCGGGCCGTAAGTTATACCAACATGCAGCAGCGGAATCGGAGTGTGGGTAAAATTATGTAACCAGATTCCTGTTAATTTTCCTATGTAACCAGCAAAATTTTACTCAGACCGAGTACTTAGTGGTTGTAGCGTGAAAAGTCGAATAAGTTCCTACAATGTCATTTAATTAATATAACTCAATGGCGCAGTGATTAGTGCGCACAGTTTCTGATGGCAATTTAGATTAAGCCACTTGCGCATGGATGACGACCAAATATTTATTATCTCAGTTGGTCCTGCTGCAATTATTAATACCACCATCACTGAGGCCACATGGTGGGTTAAAACAACCGTTATATTTGATTCCATCCACAGGCTGATGATGACTTGACTTGATGACAACTTATATATAAGAGATTTTCAGCGGTTTGAGAGATGGAAAGAGGTGGGTTTTATATTCCGGGTTATTATAATCCTGAATTGGTCACAAAAACTTTATAAATCCGATCAGCAGTTTTTTTTCAGATCAAAATAACTTGCAACTCAAATAACTACATATACAAACACTTAAGTCGTTGCATTCCTCGCAAAGGTATTTCATTCATGCGATTTACTTTTAGTGATACCTATTCAAAAAACATATAAGAATCACTAAAAATAATAAAAGATTTTTTTTCAAAAAATAAAAACTTTTTGCTTTAAAAAAGTGATAAATAATATTAATATATAAAAGCAGTTCAATTATTTAAGAAACTGCTATTGAAGTATTTAGTATTAGAAAAATAATTACTCCTCATAATTTAAAGTTTTCAAGTCAGTGGTATTTTCGAAGAAAATACATTAAGTATTTTTAATTTCGTTATGTGTGTAAGCTAAATCAATTCCATACAATCTTACACAGTAAGTCCAACTTTCATTGAACGTAATAAGCATTAAATTAGATCCCATGATAGTTAATATTTAAATAACATTGAATTCGTTGCGTGAAATATCTGTAGAAGCTCAACTCGCGAGTTATATGCCTGTTAATGACATTGCTAACCAAAATGGCGATTTTTCAATCAAGTTCCGGTCTCCAGTGCATACTGCATTGCTATGATTCCACACTAAATCTCATCTCCGCACCTCAATTGAGACCCGAAAATGTGCTGCTGTATTTTTGCCAATCTGGTTAAACTTATCAGTCCCGCAAAAAGCTCATAATAGACGATGAAGATACTACTTGTATAATATTATATCTTAAAATAATATATCGCTCGCCATACATCCAACGGCCCAACACACACTGCTAAGATATTATAATACTTTCATATTAAGATACTAAGTGATACTTAACGAATAAAATAATAAACGGTTTCAATATATTATCGTCTCACTTTATGATAAATTAAGATGTTAAAATATGTTGCCTTAAAAAATTATAGCATCTTCACCATCTGTTATGATCTTTATACTTACGCGAAAATGAAAATAACAATATGAATTCAACTTACGTGCAGCGCATTAAACGGAGCTTTAAATTTAAAAATGCGTTATTAAAATTAACTTTTTACTAGATAAGTCTTACACAACTTTTGAATATTTTTTTTTTTTTAATTCTTATTTTCTTATGAAGCTTGCCGTGGCAACCTATAATTGAGAGTTCACTTCAATATATGAACATGCAAGCAACTATTGTAACAATTTAAGTGAATGTCTTGTTGGTTGTCCAATAAATAAATAAAATAAAAATAAATAAAATAATCTTTCCACCACAAGCAGAAACAAGTCAAGTCAGTATAGTCAACAGCACACCAGACTATAAAACAATTCTCTACTTGGTTTTAAAACTTAATTCATTGTGAGTTCAAAATCAACTGAAGAAATGTAATGTAATTAAAAAGCTTTTGCCACTTTTATAATGGAAACCTAAACAACAAATGTACCACAACACCCAAACCTTAGACAATATATATAAATTTAATTTCTACACAGATCCGACAGGGAATGGAACAAAAGCATCGAGTTATCAAATCACCAAATTCCATAGTTACGTAGCATTTTCCATATAATTCTGAGAAAAATACTATAGGATCATAATGTCACTAAGTGATAATAAGATATGCATTACCTTAGTCGTAATCTTGTTACGTTTTACGTTATAAGGCTTCCTACGACTGAATATGTAATAGGCAGCAGTTAATATATATATTCCCGTTTCTAACCACCATTAAAACAATTGAAACAATTTCTAATAATCACAATTTATTTGAATTATCAATGCACAAGCTGCACAGGCATAATCATTCTGGTTTACAATAAATACTCAAAAGTGCTAAATAAGTTAAATAATATAAAATAGCTAAATACTAGATCTGCCTTAGACTGGTGCGTTCTAAATGCTGTACTTAACATTTTAAAACTGCATCCAAGCTAGATTAATTGCACATATGTATTTCAAAATTAATACTTCGCCTTACTTGATTATCTATGATATGACATTCAAACTATGAAATCGACTGAGAAAAATTATAAAATAAACAACATAGCCCATAAATTGTCTATAGCAATGACACATAAGATTAATAATAATGTCAATACAAAAATAACAATTTTGAAAAAAAAAGCACTTTGCTTTCATGGATACTTAAAATCATTGCTATAGGCTCATAACAATCGTAATACTTTTTTTTGTTAACACAATTTCAAACGCTACGATTCCATCTTGTTTAAATCAAGATAATGTAGCCACACCAATCCGTATAATCCTCCCACACTAAGGATTGCTCACATGATTACACTACAATTTGAAAAAAGTGAGCGCGACCTAATATAACAAAAACGCCACTTTATAATAATAGGATATGTGCATCAGGCTTAAATTGTAGATCTCTATATAACAATTTAATACTACCATTACGATTAGTAATTTGGGAGTGTATGGGTACAGCTTAGCGATCTTAACGCTACCGCTTTGTATACTTATATCCTTGTGTGGTCGTGAGTTTAAACTTTCATAGTAAACTGATGAAACATTTTATTTGTTCTTTCTAGTTTAGTTGCACTCAAATGTTAAAACATGCACATACCCTATTGTTTAACACAGATCTTTCGATGAAATAATTATGTATTCACTTCATTTTAGAAATTTACCTTCTTTCTTCTTTTGGTAACTTTGTTAATGACTGGACTGCGTCATATGTCTAAGTCATATGAACCTAATAAATCGACACCGAATGCATGCGGCTCACTAGAAACTCCGTAAATATTATTATGCAAAGAATAAGAATAATTGAATAGTTGTAATTTAATAAATTGAGAATATAATACTAAACCATAATTGTATTGTACAACTGTTATGATTTTATTTTGATTACTTTTGAAATCGTTGTTGTATATTTGTAGCAGTAATTTACAATTCTTAATACATAGATCGAAAACACCTTATTATAAAGGCACCAAGGATCATTTTTGGATACTCGAAAAGCTTTACCCATATATTATCATGCCTATAATCCATATATATCATTTATATATCATTTTATCGCAGAATTAAATCTTGTATTACGCAGTCCAATCATAGCCTCGAAGTCTCTAAAGGTGCATCCACACAGCACTCACATTTTGGGCACAATGTTACCATAAAATTTACCGATTTGTTTGTACGGTCATGTAAATTTTCCTAACTTGAATAATACAGTCATAATGGATTAAAATCTGTTACATGGTTACGAAAATGTGTACAACATGCTTGTTGCGGACATTGTTCTTTGTGAATCTGTATTGGCAGTATGGATGTGGTAAATTAGAAACAAGTGAATACAAAATTTAAAGAATATTATAGTACGTTATTAGTTCCTAAGGTAACTGTGGGGTGGATGTGCACCATAAATAACATTAGCTCGACAAATCAATAGTTGGTTACAAATCCTTTACTTAACGAATAAAATAAAGCCTCACTAACAAAACGCACCAGTCGGAATGCGAAGATGTCAAGCGACCAAAGCGTATAAAACTTACTGAGATTACACATTAGTCTAACCAGTGCGTTTAAATGTATACAAACGTAAACAATTATATAATCACTTTATTTTACGTTATTGGAATGTATTATTGAAAAGATATGAAAGGTTCTATTTTATCACTATGTAAATAATAGAATATAAGACAACAGCACATTGCTGATTCTGTGTAAAGTAAGGCAAGCACTTACTTAAAGTTATTACAACTTAATATAATATTATATAAATATTTAATTACCTTAATATAATGGCGCCCCCTTAACCATCCAAGAGGAAGATGATGATGATGAATGGCGCCCCCACAAGTACCCAAATAGAAGCCAGAGTTTTGTGAATTGGAAGAGTTAATTTCCTACATTAACTTGATCGGATATCTCTACTCGCAAAACGACTTCTTTCATTTTTTTTTTAAATTCAATAATATCTTTTTTTTGTTCTTAGTTTATATTGGGATTTCCAAATTCGAAAATAAACTGATATCACAAACTCCCATTGCCCAATTACTTTGAATCCCTACTCTAAGTACATATAGTTGTTCTTGGCATATTTTATTTTACACTTAAAAAAAGTAAATAGCCTCATTCCATAATTTTTGACAACTAAACGATACAAATATTTAGTGTCAGTATCCGTTTCATATAGCGTAATTATTCAAGTATTACATTTGGGGTCAAGCACAACTTTTTTATTGAAAATAAATACCTACTTATTATCATTCAAAGTAAATAGGCTGTAATCACATTTCATATACCATAAAAACAAGCTAAATAATGTATCAAAAATGCATGTTCAATAATAAAAGAGAGAGAAACGAATATATTAAACATTAATATAAAGCAGTAAAGTTGTGGCGGACTAACCTAATAACTAGGCGGCAATAGGCCCGGATTGACAACTTTTCCAACAGGGACAGAAACTTTATATTGCCTCCCCCCCCTCCTCCCACCAAAAAATACATTTTTAGGCCCCCCAGGACCGGGTCCCGAGGTGGACCGACCCCTTTCCCTTAGTCCGTCACTGTATAATAATGTAATGGTTTAAATCTATACTAATTATATAGAGTTTCATTGTTTGATTGAACTCTATGATCTCAGAAACTACTGAAACGAATTGTTTTATTTTTAATAAAATATAAAAGAACTAGTATACGTTCAAACGCACTGGGTTATGTGAGTGGAGAGCTCCTACTGCTGGGGCTCCGCGTCAGCATCGTCGCCGCGGAACTCCGGCCCGCGCGGTACTTCGTCCTCGAACACTATCTCCTCTGGATCAGGGGCGCGCGGCAAAAACTCTTCGCCTGGGCAAATCTTCTTGAAGATTTGCTCAGCCTGCGTTTAATACGATAACAATATCATCAATAAGCTACCCTACAATTTTTTTGTCTGCTTTTCGGTCAGTTGCACAAATGTCCATTAACGTTTAATGGCGCCTTTAAGCCCTAATGAATGTCAAATTTGTATGGGTGATTGCGCTGTAAACTAATGTATAATTAAATGGACATTTGTGTAACTGGCTGTTTCAATCTTAAATGTTATATTATAAGAATCGACTACCATATTGAGATAATAATTCTCAGAAATTGTGATTTAGATCAAATTTATTTATTCCGTAAATTTTTTAATAATTGTAAGTTCGAAACATAAAAAGTACAGCAATGCTATCTGTTAAAAGTCGAAAAACACTAATCGTAGAGGCTAAAGTATTTAATTGTAGTTCTATGGCAATAGATACTTTAATTGTAGTTCTATGGCAATAGATACTTTCTTATTTTACTAATATTATAAAGTTTGGATATTTGTTACATTTTTTTTTTAGCTTTTTTTACCTTATGACGAAATAACATTGTTTCGTATTAGATGAAACGTAACGTAGCAAACCGTCATTGGGTCCGTATCGCATTCGGGTAGTTATCATAATGCTATTTAAAAACAATTATATGCCTCGCAAGTTTATCCTAACATTAATTTAAGATTTAATTCCCTTCAATGTAATAAGTAAAAAATAAGCTACATTTTGACATATATCACATAACAAGACACATTAATAAATTTTTAGGTCAAAATTGGACATTATTCTTTGTAGGTATATGTGTGATAGATAGATAGATAATACCAAATACAAAACATACATAGAACAAAAAAAACAGCATTAATAAAGCTATGTGTCACGATCGGCGATCTAATCACTATAAAGCGAACTCTTCCAGACAACCTTTGGATGTAGAAATGATCTATCTTAAAAGTACTGGGGTGTATAATAATCTTATAATAACAAATAATACATAAATTTTAATTGTAAGATTATTATATAAATATACATTAAACAAACTTACATATACTTATATATGTTTATGCATAAATAAAATAATTAAAAAAAATATCTTTGTTATTTTTTTTTCTCTTGTGTTTTATTTTCCTTTATTAATTATGTTTTATTTTTATTCTCTGTATAATGTTGTTGTGTGTTGCATATTAAATAAATGAATGATCTATCTAGCTATAAAATACATATTATCCAAATAAATAAAGCAATATCATAATCAAACAAAAAAAAAGCAATTAAATCGATTAAAAGCAAAAAAACCGATTAAGTTAATCTAAACTCTACATTTCTTGTTCCCAAAAGGAACTTGTCACTAAAAGCGATCCGAGCGAGCGAGATTTTATGAGTTTAAATTAATTTGCAGTAAAATAAACTCCATAAATGACGTCACACAAAATTCATGATTTTTTTTTAACTGTCACCAGTTTGTCTATACAAATTCTACTAAATATTGTTGACTACGAAATATTATTCTAGGCCCCCTCCTAACGTGTGACGTAATTTATGGATAGCCCCTTACGTGTGAATGGGTGGAATGAAAAATAATAGACAATAAAAATGTAACCTGTTCGACGGCGCGGTCGAAGTCCAGTCCAGCGTCGGGCCCGCAGCACACGTGCACGCTGTCGGCCGCGCCGCTAACGGGCGCACTCGTGTCGCGCACGTTGTAGAACAACGACCAAAGGCACTGACGACACAACCTCAACCAATTAAACTCTGACCGTTGTCCAACACTTAATACTAGAGATGCGACGAATAACGGTCTCACTGAATAATATCCGGTTTTACCATTTCACTGATTTGCCACGTGAAAAGGTTTCTTTTTTCTTTACTTCATTAACTAACTTGGAATGTCCCAGCTGCATCTGCAGTCGTCAAAACCCACCAAGACGTACTAGTCCCGAGTAGTGGGTTATTCGCATTCTCCTTATTTGATCCGTCAGGACGAAAATAAGTACTCCACTAGTGGAGACATTAAAAGGATGACGACGGGGATAATAAAACAAACCTTTGGTTTCTCAGATGCCTCTAATTGGTCCCCGCCACTCATGTCGAAAATCCTCTCTGCGTATGGTTTAAGATCACTCTCAGCAGTCTTGACTTTTTTTGTTATAAAATACACCACAACTGTAAAAAAAAAGAGTGATTATATTATTATTTTTATTGTCTCAACAGATGTCAAATTCTTTAGAAACAGGACTTGCGTTTTAACTGAAATCCCCAATTTCTAGATTATTTTTCTCTTATTTTATTACACAAAAATCAATTGAATTTATATTTATGTATTAACAATTTAACTGACATTAGTAGTGAAAAATCTTCATTGATTTAAAAATGTCATCTATCCTACTTTTTGGCAGGTAGCTGGCGTACGTATACAAAGTAAGTGCGATCTCTGTGGAATCAGTTGACTGGTCAAAAAACTAATTACCAACCAATAAGCTACAAAAATCACCCACACTTCGCATGCAGACCCCATCAACCAATATTAATGAGCCGCTAGACATGCCATTATTTGTATAATGAGAATAATAGAAAACGTGCATCAAAATTACAATTAAATACTGAAAAATAGATAAGGGTTATTCAAACATCAATTTATAAATCTTAATTGCAATCAAGGTTAGCAAGGGGTTATATAATAGCTTAAATTTCTTTAAAAAAAACCGGCCAAGTGTTGTAGGAATCGAGCATTTATACAAAATGCAAAAAAAAAACACGTTCGTCATAAGGCCCCTTTTATATATTTATTTGATTCTGTTTTTAGTATTTATTATTATAATAGCAATGGCAACAAAATCTGTGAAAATTTAAACTATCCAATTATTACGGTTCATGGGTTCAGCCTGGTGACAGAGGTATGGACGGACAGTGGAGTCTCAGTAATTGGGCCCCGTTTTTACTCTCTTGGTTCAGAATCCTATAAATTTGTGTGATTGTGTGTGGATGTGAAAATAAACCTAATTTAAGTTTTTATTGGACGCTTTTTAACATTTTTGTAATTGCTGATCATAATAACTTTACCACAAAAACGAAGGCAATATATACCTATACCAAGTAATATATACCTATTAGACAACATCACATACATTGCCTAGATTCTAAGATAAGTGGCTAAGGCACATGTACTATGGAAATCTGAAACAACGAAGGTACCACAACACCCAGAACCGAGACAACATAAAAAGGTCATTTTCGTCATTAACCCGCCCTGCAATCGAAAGCTGCACTTGTGAGATCCCGATACATTAAAACCGACGTGCGAACCACTTGGCTATGGATGTGTTACTTGATATTTTGTTGTAGCTAAAGCTAATGATTTCTCTTTTATGGGATAATAATATTGGTGATAATAAGTATGTATGATATGATTCTACTGGAATTAGACTTTAGCTAGGAGGCGGATAATCGTATAAAATAAAATAATTTAGTTATCCGATAAAATATTTCCTACGTGACTCATAACACGTTAGCTCTCCAAAATTGAGATACTATGTAAAAAAGGTTACTCGTTACCAGCCGGCACAATACAACAAAAAGCGGTGAAAAAAGTTACGAGCGCAAATGACCCTGGCGGAGCGCTATTGACGAGAGGCCGGCACGTCTCTGTCGCCGCGTCGGTCAGTTTTCAAGAACTAATTTTAACCGACCACATAACAAAAGACAGACTGATAAAAAGCAGATCAATAACAACGATGTTTTTCGACACCAGAATTACCCCTTTTGCATCACACAAACTACGTACGTTCATTCTATTATAACCAATATTTAAACAATAGAACACCAATTACAAATCAAGAGTAACTAGGTGGCGTAGTGGATAAATTCCGCAGCCCGTGATCGTTGTTGTTAAGCAACTTTCGGAACGTTCGGTCACGGGATGGGTGACCAAAAAAAATATATATTAGCTACTCCGTGCTTCGGTAGGCACGTTAAGCCGTTGGCTGCATTTGCAGTCGTTAATTTCCTCAAATTCGCATTGGGCCAATGTGGAGGATTACGGCCGATCCTACTTAACCATCCATAAGGAAGACCTGAGCCCCTGCTGCAGGGACGTAAAAGAGCTGATGATGATGATGATTAGAAAAGATATTTTTTCAAAGCAAATTAACTTACATAGTCCTTTGGGGCATGATCCAGTGGCAGGACCAACTTCCAACACGGTCACTGTGTTATCTTCGTCAGTAAGAGGTGGGAAACGAAGCAACGTCAATGGTTCTTTTTCACTCTTCATGATAGAACCATTAGTTATGAACACTGCTTTGGAGATGTCGCAACTTTCCGCGGGTTCTGGCGATATCATCTCTTTTGGGCACTCGTTGATGCCGATCACTAGATGATCGCAATTTAGAGTCTTCGATTTGCTGTCGATGGTAACGACGGTCTTGCCTTCGTCGACGGTTTTAGTTGCGACTTTATCGATTGGTCGGTTTAGGCAGTATACTCCGCCGAACACGGCACATAATCTATAAAATATATTTTATGTTTTTTTCATAACTAAATATTGTATAATATCTTAAAATAGTAGTAGTAATTCAATCTTAATATAATAATAGTTATAAAATAATAAAGAAATATTAGACAACATCACATACATTGTCCAGATTACAAGATGAGTAGCTAAATCCCCTATATTATGTAGTATCTGAGGCAACGATAGTAAAACACCCAGACTTGAGACAATATATAAAAGTTCGTTTTCTAAGTTCACCCGACCGGGAATCGAACCTGGGATCCCAGAGATGGCAACATGTTGAAACCGGCGTGCGAACCACTTGGCTACGGAGTTCGTTAAAATGTTCGTCAGAAAAATATTGATGAAATTCCTAAAGCCTTCATCAAGGAAATAATTGTACTTGGACTCAACTTTGTATTGTCTATGGAGTAGATGCGTTTATAATGCAAATTTGAGAAACACATTAAACAACCAGTATAAATATTCTTGAAACACAAAATTATCTCAACAAAATTATAAAGACATATAATTGTGTCAATTAGTGGATAATAAAAAAACTTTGTGTATAATTTATAAAACTTTAGAACATGCGGCATGCAACATTAGAAAGTGCCTCCATTTTTGTTTGCGTTGACCAGTTGATGCACATTTGGGTCATTGAACTGCGTCGCGTGGTGTGACTTTAATGGTGCAATTTATTGCATTATTTTGAATTGGAACTATAAAATTTTTACCTGAAGAGATACTAGATTCTCGCTCGGGGCTATCATATCGTTTATACATATAAACGATATGATAGCCCCTAACTTAAAGAAGCTACCTAGCCTAGCCTAAGTGCCTAAAGAAAATAATAAGCTTAATTGATTTTTTGTAAGATTCTAGAACAGTTACCTGCAAAAGCATTGTGGTAGCTCACCACTGCCATACATGGGCCACAGAAAAGGAGTGTTGCCATAGCGGCCGAGACTCATGAGGAATTTCTTGCACTCTTTCACGCCCTCCAAACAAGGCATTTTATTGGTGCCGCCGGCGATCGCGAATAAGACGTAATGGATTAAATTGGGTGTCAGTCCTTTGTGCTCCAGATATTCCTTAAAAGTCTTGTCATTCCAGTCTAAAATTATGAAATTAACACATATTTATTTATAATTTATATTAATATCCTTATTTTCAACAATACACACCTAACGCGCTAAACACTGCGCCATTGAGCTCCGCAATATTTTATTTATTCGAACCCCCAATGAAATTCAGTAGAAGCTTCTAGAAGAGTGGATCCTTACCTTTTGATTCCTTACCTCCCCAAGCGTGGAGTAAACTGGAGGCCCTCTTAAAATTTCTATATGCGCCGACGATATTAACGTTTTTAGTTTAAAGGTAATCACCGCCATGCTAGGTAGGAACCATTTTTCTAGAAGGGTTTCTCACTTTTATAATGCATTTTCACGATTTATTGACTCACCCTTAAACTCATTGTTCATTTCTTCCTCATTATATCCGACAATAGAGGTGAGCATTTTCATAAGCATGCGTTTCTCCACAATGCTGACCGCCTCGGTGGCGAACACATCAGCGCGGGAACATGGCACAGGCATAAGCTTGTCGTTAAGCCACGTCAACACACGTGTAACACATCGAAACTCAGCATAGCGCGCAATGTTTGAAGAGATTAACAATTCCACCAATGGGCCTCGGGAGAATAATAGCTGAACAGGTAAAAACAAATTGTAATTGATGGAACAGGTAAAGCGTTCAGGTGAAATAAATACACAGGTTCCATAGCTAGAGAATTAACACCTAGAGAATCTTTAACTTCCAGTATTTTTCACTACTAGTATACAGCAATGTAGTTATAATGCTGATTACTACCTAATTATGTATGTTATTATAATATACATACATTGAAGTAAAAAGTCACCTATGTCACACTCCTGACTGCAATACCAAGTATAAACAATCATACCATTATAATGCTCCTATTTAATATGACAGTTAAAAAACACAAAGAAACACACATATTTTCCTTTTTACATTAGAATTTGAACCCTTTTCAGGGTGGAATTTCCCAAACACCATTGTTAGTACATCCATTCTTAATTAATTAAACCAATGCCTACAAATTTCAAGTCTTCACAGCCAATAATAGTTTAGGATGCGCTTTGTTTTTTAGTCAATCAATATGTCAGGACAAAGATTTTTATAGTAATACATTTTTTTTGATAGTGCGGCAAAAATTAAAGCCTTCAATTGAATAATAAATCATCATTCTTATAATTTCTTAGACACACAATTAGCTTGCTGGCTACCATTGACAATAAAATTGACAAATGACTATAATAATTTAGTGATAATAATAATAAAATTAAATCAATAAGCTTTTACTACCAAGATCAACCATTTTACCTTAGGTGTCATATCAATATTGAACTTCCTATATTCAGTAGCAAAGCTGGCCTGACTCCACACCTTCTTGGAAGGTTCTGATTTACTATCTTCAGTCTTGTTTTCATCATCCTCTTGTTTTTCTTGTGGAGAATCTCTATTAAATTATAGTTTCATATCATGTATTTTATTCACATTAAAAACTTTGTTTCTATTGATATAAAAGAAATGTTTAATAGATACTCACTTTTCAATATACCATTTTTCAGACAAATTGTAAACTTGTAGTTGTCTTTTAGGATCAGAATTGACTTCTTTAATAAATTTCTGAAGTCCATCAAAATTATAAGAAGCCCATAATCCACCATAATGATCACTAGAGTCCAAATGAAGAACATTCTTGCCTATTCTGCTGCATGCTGCAGCTACAATGGACTCTACCATCCCTAAATAATGTAAATGAAAATGTTTGAAAGCTGTAAAGTTTGATATGCTAAGCAGCACATCAGGTTTCTACAAAATGTAATAGGGATGATGACAAATTTTTGTTTGTTTGTCTGTCAAGAAGAGTGTTAAAAAATATTAAACACATTTTTTTTTGTAATCATAAAATAACGGCGATACATGGAATTGAAATTTCACATGACGTCACATTATGGTACATTTTCTACTCAACTGTGACGTAGCGAGCCCCCACTCCTCAACTTTAATGCCTGTTATCTAAGCTATTTCTTGTTAAATTGAAGAAAAACAAAATATGTATTTAGTATTTTTCTAATATCAGACTGACGGACTAAATAGAATTGCATTTTTTTTACCTAGTCATCATCCCTATTATCTAGTTTATATCAAAACTGATTTCAATAATTTTAGATATTAATCATAAGCATTATTGTGAGATCCAAATAATACTTACAATTAATATGTTAAAATCTATAACAGAAATCATATTAATTACAATGAGTTAATTTAAAGGAAAACATTATGTTCTTATAATTATCAACCCAAATCAAAATATTTTTTAATAAGAGTAGGCTGTTTATAACTGATATAAATAAAGTCTGCAAGTCAATCATTTATAAATCTATACCTGATAAGAACTGTCTAGAAACAGAATTCTTCTCTATTTCAATTCCTATCAAAATTAATGAAAACCTAGGTAGGTCTAACTAACCTAAAATTTATTTCAAATAACATTTTAGTTAAATAATAATAAAATATAATTAGCTAGGTATAATACAAAATGTTAATTTTGACAATTGAAAGATAAGATACGTGGGATATTTTTTTACAAAAAAAAAATACATATTAGTAATCACTTTATTGTAATCTGGTTAATTTTAAAAAGCTACAAATTTACAAATAAAGTAAAAATAACTATACTCCAAAAAAACAAAAAGAAAAAGTGATCTATCATTGTTTCTAAGTTAATATATTTTTTACAAAAGACATAGAACACAGCAGTGCTGACAAAGCAGTGACAAAATATGAGATCGATAAGTAGGCTGCTTGCTATCGCCATCATAGCAGCCGGTACAATTTTATGTAAAAAGTTTGTCTTACCTGTCCCAACGACAATCACCTGGAAGTCGGTAGGTAAATCGTCATCCATTTTAGCTTCTTATTTAACCCTTGAATAAATAGGTTAAATCAAAATTAAAATTACAGCGACGATTTTTTCCCTTTCTTATTTGAACAGTCAATTTGACTTTGACATCTTGTTGACACATGACAATGATTATAAAATTTTATTATAAGACAAAGGAATCTAGGCCCTAATGACATGAATGAAATACTGATCTAATGACCTTTTTCTCTTACCCGCTTTTCTCTTTTTCTAAAAATTTTCTAAATCGTTTATTTATGATATCTATGAAAGAAAAGGTTCGGTAACAAAAACTATAAACTTCGTGGAAGTGCAGCAAGGCAAAAATATAATAATAGGGGCGCAATGAGAAAGTATTTAAAAGAAATAAAGAAACTACAAAAAATTATTTCACTAGATGACAGCACAAATTGTAGGATATAAATGTCAATGAGGAAGTATTTAAAAAAACGAAAGCACTTCCAATAGAAAAGTTGATTTTTGCAAGAGACGAATGGACCAAAGAAAATCATTTCTGTTCCTTTTAACTAACATATTAAAAAACTGAAATTTGTATAGTTCGTAACTTAGATATCAATACAAATACGAAAAAGTACAAATAGAATATGAATTGTTTATTGAGTTTTGAAAACTAATTTACTTTCATACATGAAAGAAAACCGGAAGGGAGATGTCATGGAGAAATCAAGAACGTAGCGTAGCGACATCTAGTTTGATTAAGGGAATTAATGCTTTTTTTAAATACTTCCTCGTTGTGTTAACTAAGTTATTTACATAAGTAATATAGTGAATTGGTCAAAGTGAGTATTATCTAACACGATGACCATTTTACTATATTTAAAGTTCGATTAAAAGAACTTTCCGTAAAATGAAATGTGCAGATTAAAGTAGCTTTTGCATCATACCTAATATTTCTGCTCCGTTGGAACTCCGCTATTTTCTTCTTTTTGTTTATTGTTTTGGTAATTTAAAATTATATATATATATATTCTTAAATAATAATATTATCGATATAAAGCACCTGTTAAAATAACAATACTAGCGAGAATACGTACCTGCTAGTTTATAAATGGCGGACAGGTGGTACGAACCATAGAGTAAGGTAGAGTGGAAATATTTTCTATGGTTATATAAATATCATGCAATCTGAAGTTGACATCAAAAACATCATGTTGTCTTTTTTTAACTAATAAGAAGTTTCTTTAGTAAACAAAGATAACACTAGTGTGACAGTTCAAAATTTTTTACGTGACGTCATGAGATATAGCTATCGTACCACCTGTCAGCCATTTGCAAATTTGCTTTGCGTATTCTCGGAAGTAGTTCAGCTGTCAGTGTTATAAGTTTTGTGGTTATTTTCATTTATAACTTTAATTTATATAACTTTCATGGCAGAAAATTGTAAATTATTTATGCAAAACAATGCCTAGGTGCTGTATAATTGGTTGTGCGTCATCAATATCCCGCAAACCGAGCAATATTACGTTGCACCGGTAAGTTAAACACTTTCTTGGAATAACAGTATTTAAAACGTAAGTAAGTTATTCTGAAAATGATTGCGTGTATAAATCGATATATATCGTATTTTGGCGTGTTCTATTTATGCTGTATTGCTCTTTTCGTTTATATTCTTATAATATTTCGGTCCGTAAATAATATTGTTTACATGGCTAGTGTCGTTACTTTAACATATGGTTTATATCGATAATTTTAATATTTAAAAATATATTAATTATTTTAGATTACCAAAGGATGAAACATAAGAGGAAAATGGCCGAATTACATAGAAGCAGAAAATATTAAATGTAATGAAAAAGTTACTTTTATCTGCTCACTTCATTTTAGGGAAAGTTGTTTGAATCGAACTTTAAATATATATTTTGTTATTCTATAAATGTACCTTATTTTTAGTCTTGCGGTCATATGACGACTATTTTAATTGAAAAAAATCAGAATGCAATATATAATAATATTAAAATATAAAATTCTGATCATAATATACTCCCAGTAAAATATACAATAAAATGAGTTAAATAATTTTAATAAAAATTAAAATATGCACACTTATCAAATTAAAGGCATAGTTAAAGGTTTTCTTTGCTGTTCAATAGCATAATCTTAATACCCAAATAATTATTTTGCGGCGTGGATGTTTATTTTGCTGATGCATCATAAAATACGCTGCCTTTTTGAATTTAAATTGCTGACCGTTATCATGATTGTTCACAGAACATGAATTGCAGACTGTTTTAGTGCTGAGAAAATATTTGTATGCTTGCCTATCGATTAATCGGCTGTTTTCTTCTTGCTAACCAAATTTTTAAATAAAATGCCAATTGTTACTTCTTTAATAATGTTACTGTTATGCCAATTGTTACTTATTTATCACCAACTTTGTTTTCTTTATTTTCTCTTGTTTATTCATCAAAGTTTACAGTATTTTTATGTTCTTTTACCAATAATATAATACAAAGATTATGTAGGTGTTTCAAGTTTTCTATGTTTACTACTAAACAAGATGTTCTGAACTAAAATTGTGACACAGTACGCACGGTATCCACTTAATGAGGAGGAAGCGAAATTTATTCAGTCAAAACAATTTATTGAATAAATTTATATACAAACATATAAGAAAGTCGAAACTCTGTGCTTATAGTTCAGCAATCTATTACGGGAAACCTTGTACCGAGAAAAGAAGAAACTGTAAGAAAGGAACCGGTAAGAAACTGCAAGGGCTGCTTTTGCACCCTGTTTAATTTCGTACTGAAAAATAAAAAATGACTTCATTGGACCAAAATGTCACTTTCCACCAAAACAATTAAAAATATATAATAGACAAAAAAAAGCATAATAATTCATTCGTCAATCGACTCATTAAAAGCTTATTATAGTTACCGTGGTAGTTATCTTGGACAGTAGTCACACTTCCCGTGGATGCAAAATTAAACTTATGTTAAAAAAACTATTTAATTATAATTGCAAAATGTCAACTTGACAATATATATGGAAATAATTATAAAACACGATTGATATTATTGTAAAACTTTTAAGATATATATTTTGGTACTATAGTTCTTAAAACTATGTAAAATTGGCTATATTAGAGGAAAAAGAAACATATTTATCGAGGTACAATCATATTATAAAATTATATTATTAAATAATATAAATGTGAAAGTTTGTGAGGATGTGATGGATGTTGGTTACTCTCATGTAAAAACTACTGAACGGATTTTGATGAAATTTGGAATACGAATAATCTTTTACCCGTGGGAAGCGCCATCATACGCTGGTAACATATGTTATATTTACTATAGTGACGCACCGGAGTCGCAAGAACAAAGAACGCAAGAAATTTTAGATGTCCAACAAAATACGAGCAAAAGATTGCTTAATGATTTATAAATAATTGATAAATTCACGCCACTTTTAAAAAAATATTATGTTCTTGATACTGGCGTGAATTTTTCAATTTAATTAATAATAATCATAAATAGGATTGGTACGTAAGTGTGAAATGAATAGAAGTGTAATAGGTAATAGTTTAGCCATGCCCCTAACAATGGAAATTATATTATATTATTTAATAAGTAGTAGTATTGTAGCAGTTTCACGAAATACTAACTTTTATTTAATATGACTTCAATGTCGATACAAATATCGATATCTTGGGTCATGCCCTATGACAATCCGCCATCGAAGAATTTGCATTTGAAGTTTAGGCATATACGCTTTTTTCGTAGGTAGAGTTTGGCAAGCGAAACGTGACACCACCTATTTTTCCGTTTTCATATGGCAACAACATAGAACTGTCAGTTTGACACTACGTTAGACAATTCAAGAATATTGAATTTTGTTGTTTTTGCGAATTTGAACTTGTGTTTTTGGTTAAAAATTATGTCGAAGCCGATAAAAAGTTCATCGAGGAAACTTCTTTCCATCATGATTGACAAGTTTACTGAAGTGAAAACTGAATTAAATAAAAATTTCATGGAGAAATTACAACGATTAGATAAAGTTGTATCTTTTTTAGGTTAGTTTTGTATTATAATTTTGATACTTTCGTTTTAATTTTCTGTAATTAACTAAACAGATATTTTTTATAAAATATTGCTCTATTTCAGATAACTGTGATGGTGATATTCAACCAATAATGGAGGAGATAAATGCAATAAAAACTTTAGAAAAACAAGAAATGCTGAATTCGGAAACGCAGTACTTACAAAAAATTTCTTCAATGACAGGTCTCTTTTCTTGTTTTGATTTAAGATAGATTGATAGTATTCCTATAATATTTACATAGGTTTTTTATGATGTATTGGTTTTTATTGTTGACATCCAATGATGTCATAAGAATGTTTTGTTTTGAATTCATGAAACTAATCAAACCATGTAATTGTTATACATGCTAAATATGCACATAAACTTAACTAAATTAAACATAAATTGCATTCATAGTTGAATAGGTATTTAAATTATTTTGATGTATGTGTCTATCATTATTTGCTTTTAAATACATTTAACATATCTTTGTTTCAAAGTGTTTAATCTTTTATAGATGTAAGTATAAGGACACTAAGAAGGATAAAAAATGAAGCATTAATTAATAAAGGAAAATGGGACACTCCTGGGAAAAAACGACCTCATCAACCAACAGTGTCTGCTTTAGATAATTTTGATTTAAGTGCAATTCGGAATAAAGTAAATGAATTTTACTGTGTGAAAAAAATTGTTCCAACATTAAGAAGCCTTCACAATGAATTAAAAGATGCAATAGGATTCAGTGGTAGCCGTGAGACTTTACGAAAAATTATGCTTAAGAATGGATTTTCTTTTAAAAGCAATGAAAATGAACGTTCTATGCTTATAGAAAAATACCAGATTTCTGCATGGAGGCACAAGTATTTGAGAGAAATAAATATAAAACGAAACGAAGAAAAGCAAATTGTGTACCTTGATGAAACTTATGTACATCAGAATTATAAAGTTAAAAAGTCTTGGCAAGGACCTTCAACAACTGGTGTCACTACAAAGATATCCTCTGGAAAACGGCATATTGTTGTGCATGCTGGATCTGAGGAAGGTTTTGTGCCTGGTGCATTATTAGTGTTCAGTAGTAAATCCAAATCTGCTGATTATCATGATGATATGAACTCATCGAACTTTATGAAATGGGTCAGAGAAAAATTAATACCAAATTTAAGTAAGCCCAGTGTAATTGTTATGGATAATGCCAGCTACCATATAAAACAAATCAATAAACCGCCTATAATGTCTAATACCAAAGCAGATATCCGTAAATGGCTTGTAAATAATGGAATACATTTTGAGGAATATCAGACAAAGGCAGAGTTAATGTGTTTGGTTAATGATAAGAAAACATTGCCTGTATATGAAGCTGAAGAGATTTTAAAAGAACATAATCATGAACTTTTATTGCTGCCACCGTATCATTGTGACTTAAACCCAATAGAGATGGTTTGGAGTCAAGCAAAAAGAAAAATTGCAAGCAGAAACATTGGAATACCAGGAAAGGAAATGGAAAACTTAATAATAGAGTGTTTTAACTTAATTACCCCTAGTGACTGGAAGAAATACACTGATCATGTTTTAAATGTCGAAAATGATTACAAATTAAAAGATGGCATTGTTGAAAACGAACTTGAAAAATTTATTATATCTGTTGGTGCAGACAGTAGTGAAGAGAGTGACTCTGATGATTCCTTGTCATTGTTATCAGGTGTAGAATATTTAGAAACAGATTTTGACTATGAATCAGACTAAAGTATTTTTAGTCTGATTCATAGTCAAAATCTTATCTTAAATTTTCTATTGTGATTAACATGATGATTTTGTGACACCTGTATTATGTAATTTATCCATGGCACTTAATTGTAACAAAAATAAATGTTTTTTTTATTGTAATCTGGTGTTTATATTGACTAATTTAATTTGATAGATAGTGGTTCTGGATCAGAGCAAAAGGTTGTGATGAAAATCCCTTAGGAGACATGTATGTGTTATGAACACATTATAAATATAAGGGCCAGAAATCAAAATTGGCTAACATCACATTTATTAAAAAAATGTGGCCAGAGTCGCCCATATTCATTACAAAAAAACAAAGAAGTCGTTGCAAAAAACACCCTTTTAATTAATGACAAATATGAATTTTTAATATTATAAGTGCTGTTAGCCAATAGGTATAACGAATGGGTTAAAAAAAAGATTCGATTTAGTCCGTCAGTCAGATAATAGAAAAATATTGGATACGTATTTTTTTTCGCTTTAATTTAACAACAAATGGCTTAAGAGGTACTATGCGACGACTTCAAATATGCTTTGCAACAATGTTACTTTAATACAGTTTATCGATACGAAATCAAGTGTCAAAATGGAGTCCAGTGGAGAATGCCGATATTGACATTTCGAAATTGCTCATCATTGATAGAGAATACGAAATAGTGATTTTGACACAATCAAAGTGTCTATTTTTTACGGTGATGACGATTCTTGGTTGTCAGTTGAGTTAGTGAATAGGCCTACTGATATGCTGTTAACTGTACAATTAAGAACAGTCACGCTTTAGTCAAATGTTCCAAAACAAATAATTTTAATTGATATCTAAATGTTAAGATTAAATATAATTAATAAAAGTATCAAAATTATTTTGCAGTACTACATTCAGTGTTTACTGCTTAAGAATTTTTGAAATTGCCGCCCTTTTCTTGTGACACGTTTCGCTTGCCAGACTCTATGGCCGGTCTTCTTCTTTTATGTCTATGGTACGAACGCAATATGTTATGACGTCACGTAAAAAAATTCGTCACGTCAAGGGGCCACCTTTGTTTACTAAATAAAAATCTCAGTAGTTGAAAAGAGACAACATGTTTTAGAAGTCAACTTCCACTTGTATTCAACTTGTATTCTCTATGATTTTTACGAATTAACATGACGGTCTATTCTTTTTCTCCGAAAACGAAATTTCATTTTCGAAATGCTAATATGAATCCAAGGAAACGCAATTTTCTATAAATTATGATGGAACAAGGGTTGCCAGATGTATTTGAGCTTGTAAGGGACAAATGCTTAAATATGGAAAAAATGCGGGGTTTCCATATTTTAACCGGGATAAATTAAAAAAAGAATACTAATTCTTTTATGAATATTTATTCTTTTATTTTTTCAGATAAATACGTTTGTTTGATGAATACGTTTTAATGCGCGCATAATTTGACACTATTTAAAAAAATCAATATTATTATTTTAACACCTTTTGTGAAAACGAACTGATACGCGACAGAGTCGGTCCCGGCAGGACATTTGATTTTTTGCTTGAAATACGGGAAATCTGACAAAAACTAGATGGAACGGGAGTAGGATCTGACACTGCGTCTAAAACACTGATAATTTTCATGGATATGATTTTAAAAAAAATATAAGAATGATTTGAAATTTTCCGAATTTTCGTACGTTGACAAATAGCACGTGTCATGTTAATTCATACGAGTAGTAGATATTATTATATTTTTAGCAAAAACTAATTAAAGTTATCATTAATGGTGGATGACCTGTAAAAAAATATGTGACAGTTCAATCAACGCTTAGAACATGTTAGTGATTATTCTAAGAATCAACGTATGGAAAGTGAACATGATTCTTTACTGGAATTATCATTAAAAATCAAAGTTAAAGTTTCAATTACCGAAACCGCATGAAAAACGCTATGTCTGTCATATTATGCTGTCATATGCCCCCATTACGCTGCGTATGATGTCACACGCAAGGAAATATTATGGACTTATACTCCATTCATTATAGCATTAGACAGAAGTTAAATAAGGTTCTTTTTATGGTATACTTTGTGACAAAATATTAATACTCATGTGACTCTTAGGACTGACGGCTATTTTGCTACATATTCACTTAAATACCAGCTGCTATACTTAACTGTTGCCATCTAAACAAATTTATGTGTATATGACTAACTTAAATGATTTAATAACTATTACAATAAAAAGTGTTCGTCGTAAAGAACCTAAAGAAGCAGGGTTGGATAGTTTCGGCACGATTCTCATGTCACTATAACTCTACCAAATTTAAATCGTTGCCTAACCCCTTCAAACGCTTCGACAGTACAACCGTTGTTTTGCCGTTTTCCGTGATTAAGTTCTTATTGTTTTATTTTTGTTGTTAAGTTTTGTTAAATATGGACGATGCCGGTGCAGGCCTTAGTGGCCTACAAAAACTACGCTCTAAGCTCCCATACCTACCCTCAACCTTTAACATTTCAGGAAGTTTTCCAATGTCTTCATCAATGGTCTAACTAATATCACTTATAATTCGGATTTATCAAAACAACAGAGAGATAGTTTTAGTTTTAGTTCCATGTTGGCTTGGGAGTAAAAGATGAATTTATAAAATGCTGGCCTCATCTCAACCCCGAGGTATCATAAAAAATGGAAAATTGCCCAGCTCTTTTCAAAGTCGTTTTCAAAGTTCAAAGTTTCAACAAAGCTAATATATATTTTTTAAATTTATCTTGAAATTAAAATGTTCTGCACTGCTGCTTCTATGACCCTCTTTTTTCTAATGTTATAATGAATAGAGTATAGTACTTATTAGGCTTTCCGTGCAATTCGATATCGATATCGACGAGCGATATCGCGTGCACTTATAATATGTATCGCAAAATACATATATCGGAGAATCGCAAGTGTTTCATGAGATTGCATATAACTAAATCATCAAAATATATTCAATTAGACAAAATAGGTATATATATATGGCAATATCCCTGTTATATAAATAATGGCAAGATGAAAGAACGAAACGCATGGCCTCCGTTATGACTATCTTTCTTGATTCGGATTAGCTTCTATACAACGAGCAATTAAAAGATTACTTTAAAGTAAAGACATAAGGTTCATTTTTCTAATTATATTTTTTCGGAGTTATAAGTACTAAGTCCATGGTAAATATACAAACCTCATCAAACTAAAATCGTCAACAGGAAGCCCATAGAGGAATCATATAGGAAGCCATATTTACTAGCGAACGCCATCGGCGCACAAGGCGCTTTCATTCCAGATAAAATGTCAAAAATATTTTATTTTATTTTGTGTTAGCTGCAATAATTATATATTATTTCGTTTCGTTAAAACAAAGAGAACCAGAGCCTTTAGAGGTCCCCCAAGACAGGAGACCTGGGGCGCGATTGAAACATCACGTGACTGTTTTCGCGGGACCATTCAAATTATTAATGATAAAAATTATATGATAACACTTCTTGGAGAAAAATAAGTCTGATGGTGGTTAAATTGATATGAAAGATTAAAAATACTTTTCTCAAAACAGTCAAGTAGCCAATCACCTAACGCGGGCGAAGCTAGTATTTAATAATTGACAGCTTCGATCGTTGCATTACATTGAAAACAATGCTGATAATTAGCGGAAGCTTATGCTTATATTCGCAACAACCCTGATACATACTAACTTAGATTACCTTAATTGTGATAAACTTATAATCTTAGTTTAGCTTATATATAAAATTAATCTATGAAAACCTTTGAAAACTTATCAAATTATAAGAATTTACTTATTATCCATGTATCAAAAATATGTAGGTTTGTTTAACATTCTATATGATCGAGACGAGAATAATGACTTTCGTTTTACTCAGTGATATTTTCGATACAACATCTCCGCCCAACTTCAATAGAAAGATAAGTATTATTTTTTACGTTTTTTAGTCATTTTTTTATTTATATATATATATACGTAGTAATTACTTAAAAATACATAAAACTAATAGGTAGGATAGGAAAATAATTGACACTGTTACTTTAGTGTTTCATATTTAGAAGATAGACTTTATTTTATTACAAAGTAGATGTGTGACTAATTATCTATTTCAACACATACCCCATGTACCCTTTTAAACCCCGTTGGGCATTGGTCACCTTCTAAAGCAGTACGATCGTCTAAATATGTGCGTGTGGTCATTGTACTATTAATGTCCTGGGTAATCGGTGGTTCCTCTGCATTGATCGAGTGACGCAATTTAAACTTCGGAATTTCTGTTTTATCATCATCCACGAAAGTTATCTTGCCGTTATTGCTCTCAAAATCAGGTTTCTTATCTTTGGCTGTATCTTTCTCATTCAATAACCTTGAGGTAAGAGAATCACGATTCACTTTAGAGGATCCCACTCCTTTCGGTATGTCGTCATCAACAAATGTTATTCTGCCTTTATCAATTTCGGTAACCGAGGAATCGCTTAAATCCTTGTTTGATTCCTCCGATGTCATCTTATTTAGCACCTGAGACTCGGGAGATGTAAGAAACCTTTTCAATTGATCGTTTCCCACGGAAATTATTTTTATAAATTGTGATATGGAATGTTCAGGTGGCAAAGGCGAGTGTTCTATGATATTCCTTCTGTTTAAAGTTACAGGCACAGTTCTCCCACAAATTGCTCGTGACACAAATGACACTGTACTGTTCACCGTAAACACTTTTGTATTTAAGTCGATTGTCCTTGAAAGTACTAAAAATAACACAATTATTAATATCATCGTGTTTATATACACAGGGTTTATCTTTATTCCACTGTAATGTTTTAATGTAACTGTATTAAATGTAATACATTTAAAAACACACAAGTGCCTTGACATAAATGTTGACAGTCAAGTGCGTACTACTTAGCTGCTTGGATTAGCTTTTTTTGTTCATCAGTTTATTAAAGACACTCGACGATATTTACGTGCCTATGACTGACTAGTAGCTATGTAATCAAGAAAATTCTCCCATAACTCATTAAATATAGTTTAAATTCAATGTCAAGGGTGGTGGTATCATTCCCAAGATAATGGTGTTATTATTACACATAGGCCTGAGGGGCATTAAAAAAATTAATTTCCAAGGCAAACCTGATAAAAACCTTGGTATTTTATAACGTACAAATTATGAGACTGGCATTTATCTATACTAATATTATAAGGAGGAAAACTTCGAATGTTTATTGGCATTGAATAGCCTCCGAAACTACTGCATCGATTTTTCAAATTATTTCTACTACGGGAAGCTACTTTATACACGGGAGGCATAGACTATTATTTACGCGGGTGAAGTCGCGGTAAAACGACTTATAATTATTACTTATGAGAATTCTTGGAGTTATATTCTTATAAAAAGAAACTGCAGATTCGATTTCGATAAAATTTGTATGGGACTTCTGGCTTTTTATATTTTTAATTGACGTATAATCCGCAGAGACACATAAGTAAAAACATACATACCGGCAGTGACGTAACTACATAGTAGCAAGTCGGCAAAATGCCACGGGCCCTCAGCTGAAAGGGGCCCCCAGTCAGAGGAGACTCCTTACTCCTGACATTTAGTATTAAGCAATGAATGAATAAATTTGAATATCCGATGAATTTGCCACTGGCCTTAAACGGTATAGTTACGCCAAAGCATACCGACTTTTTGATTTTAAAGTCTGTTAAAAAGAAGTCACCGTTTAATCAGGAGTACTATATTACGATTACATACATTACGATTTCTGTAAATAAAACAGCAAATGGTTTGTGTTTTATATTTACATATTTTTTACATACATTTCAACATTTTACAAACTACGGGAGCTCTTTTTAATTCGAGCAACGAACATTACATAAACTAACACGTAAATCTATATTGTAATAAAAACGACTTGCACGAGTCAATCTACTGGGCCCGCAAATGACTATGGCGGATTATGGCACACGCACGAGAATCAATAAAATTCCAGTGCCTACAAAACAAGAAAAGTGGCAGTTCCCTTAGACAGTGATATTGGTACGAGCTTATTTCTTAGGCCGCTTCCAACTCCATTTATTGTTCAAAGGACGTTTTGATCTTTTGTGCCCATTCTTAACTCATTGGTAGTTTTAAAAAAACTGTTATAGTTACATCTTCAAATTGACTTTGCACTGACGACTATCTACCCTACTAAAGTTAGTAGTACTATCTACATTTTACAAACACCATTGAGTTGGTATCAATCTTTGGCTTGCCTTTACACTTCCGTTTCACAATTAGCTCGATATTTTATGATCAGAATGTCCAATTGTCCATACAAGAAGTTAAAATTCATCGAAAACTAGTCAAATCACGTTTTATGACTGATAGTCAATATAGCATATTAACTTGCCTATAAAAGACTAATTCGGCAGATCTTCTCTTTATCTAAAACTTTTATAATTAGAACACTTAACTGGTGAGTGTTGCCAATAGAGTATAATGTTAAAAAATTTATACAACTGCTTGTCAGCGATCTATCGTCGAGCGAAGTGAACAAAAACTATAAATATTGCACTATACATGAATAATAATACGTATTTGGTTACTCCATAACGATACCGTGCCGTGGTCTGAACATCAACATTGCGAAACATCAATTTAATAACAAAAACATAATATATACACGCTATTCAAACATATTAAAATATCGACTATTTCATTAATTTCAATTAATTTTGTCTAATGGGTGCTATATTTATTTAATATGAGTAAAGAAGAAATGATAATAGATAAGTATAAATAACAGCATCGAATTACAATAAAAGCATTTTTTTTATATGTACATTCAAAATTAAGTTGACTTGATTATTAAAAAATCGTATAATTTAAGTCAGACTGGAATTTGTTAAAATTAAATGATATGTCCCCTTTTTAAAGTTCAAGGTGATATGTTTAATATTAAATTTTAAACATAAATGTTAAAACAAGAAGTCGATATTTTAATATGTCGGTAACATTAAGTAACAGCTGACTGCGCGTTCAGCGACTAGAATAACGTTTCTCGAGAATGGGAAGCCCGATCTAAGGGCAACGACAACGGCGTAGGCCGGTTCGCAAGCTCCGTGCACTCTCCGACCATAGTTGCGTCGCCGCCGCCACTGTCCGTAGAAAACTGTTCCACTTCGTCATCTGTGGAATCCACATCGTCTTCCGCAAACACTGAGTCCGCGCCTACCGATGCTAGTTCACACTCCACAGCATAAGAGGGCCCCACACTTCCTACTGACGCGAGAGGTGCGAGCCTCTCGCTAGGACATGGTGATAGGCGACGTTCGGGAAGCGCGCAAACAACTGAAGAGCCGCGACGCTCTAAATACGAACTTCCTGAACTCGAACAAGTTGCAGAGCTCAACCGACGATCCCGCGGCCCGCCAGATGCACGTCTTTCTGCAAATCTAAGTGCTGAACCTGGTAGAGAATCTCCACGCAGCGTCGAAAGTCGACGAGGTGGTGTCAACAAACTACCGTAACCTCCACCATACGATGCGAATCGGGCAGTTCGCGGCCAAGGTGGTTCTTCGGTTATGGATGGCCGCGAACGTATACGCTCAGATAAAGCCTCTTCCAAAGCGGCCGTTAATTGCCTCTCCTCTTCAACCGCTTGTTCTTCTGCAACGACAGCCTCTGCTAGTTCTACAATTTTCGGGTCATTAAGCGCTTTAACAGATTTGCTTCTACTTTTGTAGACGATCAGAAATACCATAAGAGCAAAAAAGCCGCCTAAGGTGGCGGCTATTCGGACGCCCGTCATGACGTCGTAAGTGGCATAGAATTCGATCCGTACTCGATCACGATCAGCGGACTGCGATCGCTCGGTGGCGTTTTCGGGCGCGCCCATCTCTCCTCTGCCCCATCCATCATGACGCTCCATCGTGTGGTCAAGTGTTCATCGCCTGGGAACAATATTAATAGCTGTTAAATGTTTTCATTTGTTCTCTTCTGTCACGGTCATTTCCAGCCATAGGGGTGGTTGATAATTGCATACAATACTAATACGAGTACCTATACATTAGTATATCGTATTAACGAGTACCTATTATTATCTCAAGAGTAGGTAGTGGGACACCGAATAACAATGTTGTCGCGAGGCGATTTCCGTTCGCCAGTTATAGCGGCGCACAACCGAGCCGACGTATCTGGGCCATGAGCTGTTTTGCTACCGTACTTTGGAATAACAAATTATTAAATTGTTTTGATTTTAACTGTTGATAAATGTTATTATTATGATAAACCATTTTAATAAGTGTCGAGAAAAAAACAACATTTTTATTATTTTAAAGAACAGATTTTTTAAATTTAATCCTACCTATTAATTATTCGTCTCCACATCACCTCTAGTTTGACTGGGAGGAAATGCCTATAAGTAAATTATACGTAGGTTCAGGAAAAGAATTTGAGCAACTACCATACGGATCTTTTTTGAATCATCATAAAATGGTTATCAATCAAAAGATTAGTTTCCCTAAAAGGGAATGATTTGACGTAATATTTATATGTATAAAAATGATCAGCGATCAAAAAACATCTGAAATTTTGAAGTCTGATAAACTATTTGATTAAATATTTGATTACGAAGAAATACGATTAATAAACTATTAATCTTTCCAAATAAATTTCATTCAAAATAAATGGGTTAACATACATTGAAGTATAATTCAGGTGCAATTGTACTTTTTTGAAACCTGTTACAAACAAAATCTTACCTCGAGTAATTGAAAAGGTGCAGATACAGAATGTGCCGAGTACCGATTACTAAATAAGTTCTCAGAGCATCTCTAGGTCTGATATTTAAATAACTATGAATCTTAAAAACATAATTATAAGCATAAAATAAATAGTTAGTACCTATTTAAATGATATGCTTTGATAGTTACAAAGACTATGATTACCTATTCGTAGTTGCGTTCATTGTGTACTTTTGAAGGATAGCCGGCGACATTATAAAATCATTATCGGATTTTGCAATTGTTGGATTGAACGATATGTCATCCATCTTAGATTAAGCCTTCCATATATATTTTTTATATATGTCGCAGCCAAATGGTATAATCAGCCAACCAACTGGGCGGCTAGCCCTTTAATTAAACTGAATGACGCCATTCAATAAAGGGCTAGCCGCCCAATTGGTTTGCTGCGACATATATACAAAATAATTCAATAATACGATAAAACTAGGTTATAGGCCAGATTTTTAAACATACCTATTTGAATTTTTACCTTAGTAGGCACTTATGATATATGACAAACCTTGCCTTCAGCACAATAATAAATAACGTGTAAATTCGGTCTTTTATTTTTATCTAAGATTGAAAAGAACCAAATTCTCATAAATAAAGTAAACTGAAATATAAATCACCAATTGTAAAGAAAAATATTTTATGGCCACATAAAGAGAACCAGACAGCGTCAGTACGCGACTTCTGTTCCTGTATCTGACGGGATGGACGTTACTATAATTAAGACTTCAATGTAGGTAATTACGGGGTTTCCATTTCATTTTAGTAGTTTAAAATAGTTTAGAACGTATTGGCGGATACGAATATTTTAGTGAGAGGAATAGTTTTGGTCAGAAAACATTCTTGGGCTAACTAAAGTTTATCTTTTACTACAAAAAGAAAATTTATTATTGTCTTTTAACGAAACACGTAACGGAAAATTATCTTTTGTACTATATATTTAATCGCCTACATCGTTTGAAGTTGATTCAAAGAAAATAATCGATACATGATCTTAAAATAAGAGATGAGAACTATTAGGCCGACTTGAACATGAAAGCTAAGTAAGACTTTTTTTTAAATATTTTTATCTGCAATCAGACAGATTCTATAAGCAGATATTTTCTCAGTTTCTTATAAGGTAGAGTGTGTCCCCCGGAGAGGGCATCTACTCATGTATTTATGTATCATATAGATGTGTGTAGTAGAAGGATATCCTTTCGTTCCAGTCGCTTTGTAAAATATTGTCCTATTAATCAAGCAAGTCTACAAAACCATCCAAGGCTTTGTAGACGTGCTTGATATTTTTTGGACGCAGCACATATTTCATCCGTTACAGTACTCATTTCAAGGTGTTGGTGAATTTTATTGTTAATTACCAGACATGGTGCTTGGGATATGGATCGAAGGATAACATTTTGCATCCGTTGTAATATTTGGATATAAAGAGTTACTAGCACTACCCCACAGCTATGTACATATATGCCATACATCCATACAGGTTTGAGAATGGCCTTATATGCAATTTATAATCTCTTGAGAGTTTGCTGTTACGGCCTAGTAACTAATACAGCTCATTATATCGCAAGTTCAGTACATCTCTTTTCGTTTTAATATGTCTCCATGTTAGACGCTTATCGAGGTGTAGGCCGGTGTAAGTTATTTTACAGTTTCCGCGTGCGGTAAAGTTGTGTCTTCGACCAGTACCTCTGGACAATTGTTTTATCTCAGGGTAAAAGTAACTTATACTGTATTCTAACCTCTCTGTAGTTTGCCTGAAGTTCTGATTGGATCCATGTTACTGGCTATGATGGCTGTGTCATCCGCAAAAGTGGCAACAGTGACATCGTCGATTTGGAGAAGGTCTGAAGTGATGATGACGTAGAGCATGGGGCCAAGTATAGAACCTTGTGGAACTCCTGCTTTGATTTCATAAAATGGCGACGTCACGTCGAATTCCTTTTTGCCATATGAAATCTAAAAACTTAAGTTATTGAGAGTAATCAGTTGATATTTTGTGCTTTTCTCAACTCAGAAACCGGCCGTAAGAATGCCTTTGGTGGTAGGGATATCTAATTTTATTGGAAAGTAGTATTGTGCCTGTCCTCTAACAACTTTTTCAAATTTGACGCAGCAGCATTAACTAACTTTCTCTTTTTCGGATTCCCAATCACAACTATTTAACGGTTTATAATTCGTATACTTTTTGCATCTCTTTTGTTAGGTAATATATTGACGAAGAAAGTTGACTTTGGTTTTTTTGTCTGGACCATATTTCGCGTTTATGATTATCCCTGAAACTTCATTGCCTGCATCTTCCATTACCTCTCTTATTGCGGTAAATGATGTTGTTGGATGAAGGTTTCTAATGACGATCCTAAATGGTCTTTCATCTTTCCTTTTGAATGTGTACCCTATGAGACCACGTTTTCTAACATCATCATCATCATCGTTTACCCATCAGTGTCCAATTTTGGACATAGGCCTCTTCCAACTTTTTCATAGATGTCCATACCCAGACTGTTTATTCAGAGTTGATTTCTATTCATGATTTTGCAAAAGAATTGTCTTTTTTACTACTATTTTCAGAGGCTCAGTTAATTTACTTACTTCCTCTATGTCATACAGGATAACTGGAGAAACCTATTAGAAATAGAAACATGATCTGGTGATGGTGTATTTGATATTCTCTTTCTCTTAGGATTTCTCGCTACAGGAATGTGTTGCCAAGGGGGAGGCTGGATGTAGTTTTCTGTAGCATTGGTTGTGTCACATTGATCAGCTTTTTTGTTGGTTTCATTTGTACTTGTCATTGTTTTGCAGTGAGGTTCTTCTTAGTGAATGGCTCCTGGTTCTAGTATAAAATAGACTTGGATGGAAGGGCTGTTGCACCAACTTTTTGTTTCCATGAGGTAAAATATAACAAAAATATTAAAATAGATATGGTTGTGGTTTTCCTCTCCAATAGCAATTAACCCAAAAAACAGTATTTAGGTTGGCAGTCATGTCAATGTTTGCTTTTTCCCTGAACCTGTTTTGGTTTCCTTAGTTAATTATAGTTTTCCTTGTCTTTGAATAATTTATTTTATTGTGCAATCCCAGATATTTTTCTGATGAACAAGTAATTTCTGCATTGGCTTTGTTTACTGTAATAAAACATCCATTAAACACTAACTAAGAAAAAAGAAAAAGTGCAAACATAAGTAATAGAGCTATTATGTCCATGAGCAAGGTAGTCATAGTTTAGAAATATAATATAGTATTTAGCAGGTACAATATATTTCCATAAAAAAAAAGCATTTTGTAATGGAGAATCAACATCAAACTGCGTACTAGATATGCAAGATCTCTGTCTTCCCATATGGCATAGAGTCTAGCAGAGCGACCGCCTAACTCCACTAGCTATAAGTCTAGCCATAGTGTAACGATGCATCATACAATGCCATTTATTTTATCCTGGGTTCCAGCATCCAAACTTTTTGTCTTTAAACTTTAACCTAATTTCTTTTTTACTAATAAATTTTCGTAATTTAAAAATTTGGTAGCAATACCTTCTAAGTAAAACCCAGTATGTATTTTTTTTTTCAATTACTACAAACCATCATTATATTAGATACGAACATGAATCCATAGGAACTGTTTTTATATTCTTATTTTTCTTGTTATAATTTTTAAGTAAGTCAGCCATTTAAGTTACGACCAACATCTTAGATTTTACAGTACTATTTCATTTTACTACTTTGACATGTACTCTAATAACAAAGAATAATGAATATGGATTGGACAGCAGTGTTTCCAACTCACAGCCAGTTGAACAAACATCCATTGAAATTGTTGTTATTTTAAAGCAACACTACCCATACAAATTTGACATTCATTAGAACTTAAACAGGTCATTAAACCTTAATGGATGTTTAGTACAACTGACCGTTAGTAGTTGTGATGATGTTGTATCCTATGGCTAGAGTTAGGTGATCGCACCCCTGGACACTGACAGAAGTTATGTGTAAGTAGGTGAAGGTATTTGTGATGTGAGCAAGCCAAAGAATGCTTAGAAATTCGAGAAAAGCTAAAGTGTGAAATAAAAAGGTACTGCATTGAATGGGTAAATCACTCGAGGTTCTAAGGGCAATAAAGATTAAACTTGAATATCTGGGTCACATCATGAAAAGTCAAAAATATGAGTTGTTTCAGTTCAAGGAAATATCATGAGCAAGCAAAAAATAGGCAGGGGAAGAGTATCATAGCTTAAGAATTTGCATTATTTGTTGCAACAGTAATAAAATTGGAAATTGCCGTTATGATTGCCAAGCTGCATTAATAGATGATTTTTTTTCAAAATATTATTAATTTTATGTCCAACAATATTCCAAATCATTCCACTCCAATGAGTGATACAAGTGTCTAAATTTAATTAACAAGTAGAATTATTTTATTTTCATGCCATCTGTCTATTCAATGCAGTTGCTGCATTTTTTAACAAATGTATATTTCATGGAATCAGTACTGTGAAGTCCTTACAGAATGTGGATGAGAAAAAAAATTATGAATATCCTCCAATTTTTAATAATTAACTTGTGTCAAATATATGCATTTTTTATCTGGCTAAGAATTGCACTATATACTATGGAAAAGTATTATTCATTGTATTGCAGAATACTAAAAGTCTACAGAGATTATAAACCTAAATGAAGTATGTTTTATACACATAAGGATATAAATATATTACCAATAGATGAGCATGATTCGTAGCCTGCAGAAATCGACGAATGACTTGAGTGGAGCAGATTTATTTTGTACATGTCCTTGGCAATTTATATATATAACTAGACCACCCTTTCATTGGAAAAAAATAAATTTGGCTACATATTGCATTAACTTCCCCAAAACACTATCCATTGATCACCAATCACTTAAACATTTTTGGAGAGTATTGTACAATAGCACGAGTTAATAACATAGTCAATCGTAATTAGTCGTAAAGACACTTTTATTAATTTTTCAGTGTTTTATGTATCCGTATTTTTAGAATTATTTTACCAAATTTTACAAATTCATAAAACCAATCCACTAAAAATGTGACACTGACAGATCGTTCAGAGCCGCAGACTATAATAGCCAATAATAGAGCAGAACTTGGAATGAAGTAAAGAGGTATTTAAAAATAAAAAAAATAGTTCTTCAAATCAAATTAGATGTCACTTGTGATTTTCGGATAATGAGGAAGTACTTAAAAAATAAAAATAAGTTCTTGAAAACATACAAGATGTCACTCGCGATGTTAGGATATTTATTCAAATTTTGTTTCTGACGTAATAAAAGTAAATTGAATATCTAAAATTATTAAATATGACATCGTTTTGTGTTTCTTATAATATTTAACTTGTAAATTAATTTTAATTTATTTCAATCGTAAGTTTAAGTTTTTTATTATATTACGTGTAAAGGAACAATGTTTGGTTTATACATAAAGCTAAAGAAATAACTGGAGACCAAACTCCTCCATACCTACTTGAAGCATAAAAATTTGACCTTGAATGCTTTCTATTTCATTCCTTAGGTCCCCCTCCTCTCTTTCTAATAGGGTGTCCACACAACTACAAAATAAAGAAGATAAGTTTAAAGAGTAGAACATTAAGGCAAAAAATATATCAAATTTTCCTAAGTAGATGTAAACTTTACACATGACATTAATAGATCTAATCTAGATTCTCCATCAAATATGAAATTGATTTACTGATTTTACTGATTTACATATCACATTCTTCTCTTACATTCTTAGATGTAATAGTCATTCTCAGATAAAAATAAAACAACATTGTTATTTTTTTATTTAATTTATATGTGACTAAAAAAAGTAGAGTTTTGATGACAATAAATATTATTTGATTGTTATCATAGCAAGTCTATCAGACAACCCACGACGAGATGTTGAAGGTGTAGAAGGCATGGTAAAAATGCATCACTTTTTAGACCAGATTGTCCCGACTGAAAAAAAAACGAATTATGGTTATTTTGTCTAAATCCTATATTATGATATTTCGAGACCATTTTTTCACGACATATTACATTAAGTAAAATAAAAAAAATTCATTCCTTCCAAACGTGAACTTATGGCTCGACGACCTTTTTCGCTTGTGTGTCATCTTAAATACACGTACTTAAAAAGGACGCCGAGTCACAAGTTCGCGTTCTCACTCGAAAGTTTGTATTCTATTTTTGCTACCTAAGAATTAGTACATAATTAGTAGAATATAGACTTTTTCTTACCACATCAGAATAAAAAGGAATAATTGTATGCTTTAACCGATTCTCTATTATATAATCAGTGCTTACAAAATGATTACTGCATATTTTTGCAGTTTTATAAAACTTATTTTTTTTATTTGACACTCGATAGCTATTGACTTCTCCTTATTGGATCCTTGGGAAAACTAAAAGTGAAATAAAAAATATTAAGTTCAGTTTTATTGTTTATCCTTTATCTTCTTTTCATGGTCACCATATTACTGTTTGTTTATTTTTATTTTACAATGTGCTGTGCTTTTATTAGAAAATCTCAGAAATATGCTACTGTAAACAATTAAATCATATATTACTTTAGATACCATATTATTGGAAATGATCAAAAATTGAAGGATTCTACGTAAAACAATATTTTTATAAAATGCAAGCAGTCTTCAATTATAGTACGACTTACGACTCACCTATGAAATATCAAAGAACATCCAGGATGCCATTTGCTTCCGCAATCTAGGACTTCTGAACCATTTTCCACGATTTGATAGCGCGAAACGTTTATATCTGAATCACAATTTTCCAGTCGACAAAATTGTCATTCGCCATATTGAGACACACGAGGCTGCCATTTTTGAGGATGTCATTTACCACAACAATAGGGAAATTTAGAAAAAAAAATACGGTGTCTTATTCACAGATGACACTCACGATATTTGGATTTTGTTTCTGATATTCATTCAAATTTTGTTCTGAAGTAATAAAAGTATATTGGGTATCGAAAATTAATAAATATGACATCGTATTGTGTTTCTTATAATATCTAACTTTCAAATGAATTTATTTTAAAGTTGTTTATTATGTTACGTGTAAAGGAACAATGATTGGTTTATTTTTACCATGAAGCTAAAGCCATTTCCTTAACTTCATGGTATTATAGGAAACATTAGTAAGATATTTTTAGAAACACAATACGATATCATATTTATTAATTTTCGATACTCAATATGCTTTTATTACGTCAGAACAAAATTTGAATGAATATCAGAAACAAAATCCAAATATCGGGAGTGACATCTAGTATGATTTTAAGAACTAATTTTATTTTATAAAAACTTCCTCATAAAATCAAATCATGTACGACACACATACAATACAATATCTCTCATTATAATCGATAAAGGAACATTCTGTTTTGGTTATTTTTCAAACGTCCTTATTTACGGTCCGATGACATATGTCAAAAGGGACTTCTGTCTGATCAAAGAATTATTTTTCTCTTTGGACTACGGTAACTTCTGGTTTTATTGTGATTTTATTTTATGTAATGTGCAAGAAGTAAATTCTGGTCTTCTGATCTGCTGTTTGTGCGTAACGCGCAGATAAGCCATATTCTTTGCGATAAGCCCACGGACTACATATGTCTATTAGTGTCTATAAGCCACTAATAATAAAAGAAGAAGAAGGCTGTGCCTTTTATTTTGTGGAGATTAAAAGTTGAAGAATATTAATTTATCGAATGTAGAGAAACATAATCACTTGTATTAGACAATAATAATCAACAATAGAATAAACAAAATGTCTAGTGACGATGAATGGCAAACTTATGTTAAAGATTCCAGAACAATTTGTAAATATGGTGCAAAGTGCTATCAAAAGAACGTTGAGCATCACAAAACTTATAAACACCCTCCAAAAAATATGAAAGCAATAAAAAACACACGCGACAAACGTAAATTCAGTCCCTTTACAAGGAAAAATAAAGAAAAAACTGTCAATAATCAAACTCCAAATACAAGTACAGTTCAAATACAGGATACTGACGAGAATATATCAGGTCCTATAGAAACATTATCACATAATTCAAATGATGTGAATATTAAAATGAAAATCCCGGACAATATTAAATATTACAGCATAAACCCAAACCATGAGTTATTTAAAGAATTGTTTTTAGTACACATGCCTAATGACTTTTACAAATTTTATGAATGCTTTGATGGATACGAAATTGTTAGATTATTATCTACTGTTAATTTGGAGCTCATTGGACCCTATGACTTGTTGTTGGGAAAACTACCTATAGTGGATGATAAAGAACTGTATCTAGTTCACTGGAGATTTTACTTTGATCCTCCAGAGTTTCAGGTAAGTTAAATTCAAATAAATTCCTTGACTTTTGAATAATGTATAAATAAATAAACTTTTCTTACAGGCTGTTATAAAAAAGAAAGGAAATAGCCAATTTCATATTGGTTATTACAGAGACAATCCTGATGATAAACCACAGTTTTTAGCTAGCAATGATAGTGAGAAAGATTGTAGAATAACACCAATAGCTAGCAATATCTTTGCTGCAGTTTAGTGAGTATCTAATCTCATTAGTTTTTATTATTATATTATTAAAAATACTTCATAGGCATTGGTTTTTTTTTTGATAAATTTTTCATTGACTATGTTATACTGGAAAATATTCTTAATATAAAATGCTTAAAAAACCACTCTGTCCCTGGTACTCTCCAAACCCATCTCAGAGTACCTGGGCAAAGTAGAATTTTTAAGCATTTTTCATTAAGAATATTTTCCAGGTTTTGTTTTATTATATATTTCAGTTTTTATTTAGAAAATGAAAAGAAAACCTCTCCATTTGTGGCCATGGCTTGTCAAAAAGTGATGGACAAATTAAAAAAAACTGCACTTGAAAATAATATTTGTATTGAAAAGTATAGTGTTCAAGACAGGCAAGCACATTGTATAACGAAAACACTACATGGAGCTGGGATTGTTGTACCTTATAATAAGAAGACACAATTGGGATATAGACATTTGACTGAAAGTGATGGTAAATTTGTAATTTAAGAAGGGTGTTCCCAATAGGTTACACTTTTACTCATTAGACATCTTTTATTGTTTTTCTAATAAATGACTAATTTTCCAACAATAAATAACACACCTGTATTCTGGGCCTGTAATTGTACCTGTACTTGAAAACTTTAATTTTCTTCTCAAGAACAATCTAGAAGCCTCATTATGTATAACATAGTTTTATGTTTCAAAAATTATCAGTATAAAAAGCAATCAGAGGATGTGACCATGTGTGAGATAAACAAAAGTTTTTCATTGAAAATATCAAATTATGGGATGCTGTGTTTATACTCAAATGCAAAAATACTTGTAACCTGTTGAACATTTAGTAAATCATAGAAATTATGTTACAATATGTAAAAGTCTCATCATTAGACAAAAGATAATTTGATTGAAATCAGACAATCAGATTTATAGTCTTAACTTGTTGGAAGATTTGTTCAAAATTCAGAGTTAGTTTAAAATTGAATAGATGATGCAACATACCTACTGTTACCATGTGTTTTTTTTTTATAATTTTTCCCAACAAGCAACAGTGTAACTCATTGGTAACATATAAAATTAATATTCTACTATGTCACCTAAATTATAGAAAAACTAAATCATTACATATTAGTTTAATATTAATTAGTGATAAATAAAATTATTTGAATTACAGCCAATTTGAAAAAAATATTTATCAAACTTGAGAATGCAGCAAATCAAATTGAAAAAAATAAAGTTTTGTCAGAGTTACAGCCAGTTATAACTTATGCCAACATAGCTGTGGATGAATGTGACTTTGGAACTGGTTTGGAAGCTGGTATAGATTTGTTTTGCTCTGGATTAAAAGAATTGGAACCAAGTGCTTTGAGCTGTTTAATATCTGCATACAATCTTTTGAACAGAGGAGATTTTAGCAACATAATTATGGTATGTTTCTATTAATGATCCAAAACTCAATCCATCTATTTTTCATTCATGTTAGTATCTTACGATATAAATAAACAGTAGAGATATGAAAAAGATTATCAAAACAACACTGATTATTTCAAGTTTTAAATGTATTTTTTATAAATTTACGAACTACATTTGCACATAGGGGACTAATTATGTACGAGAATTGTCCAACGTCTGAATTTAGCGAACAGTACTAAACTCTTATCAATGTCATTTGAATGATAAAAACACATTTGTCCTAATTTTATTCCAGTACTGTACGCATATCCATACAAAATATTTATTTTCTATAGACAGAACCTAAAAAAAGGAGTTGAATAAATGTAATTATACTCTTGTAAAATACATGAATTGTTTACAATATAATTTTTGAATATTTATATTGCAGGCTCATCTGAAATATCGACGGAAAGGAGCGAAGTTATCAATTCTAGATTTTAAGCAAGTTTGAGTTTATAAATAAAAATGTTTTGATACTTAATTTTCTTAATGCAAATCTATTTATTTTTTCATAAAACCTTATTGCATTGACAGAATATATAATACTCTCAGACCAAATAAAAAGTATAGACGGAGTTTTGCCTAACAGAAAAGTGAAGCCGATAAAACTACGCCTCGGCGTATTCGTACACAGTTTCACGCACACATACATAACGAAACTAAACTACGCCTTCCTTATCAGTCTAACTAAAAACAGTATGCGGAACGTTTCATTATAAAAAAATCAAAAATTTCTTACTAACTGCCGAATTGTGTAGTAAAAGGTTGTAAAAACCAATCTTCAAAAAATAAAAACAGGATGGAATCACATTTCACACATAAGTATTGGAGAAAACTTACATTTTCGGTCATTTAAAAAATAAATTTAAGTAATTGCTTGGAACACAAAACCTCAGCCAAATATTACCATCGTTAAACGTTATTATTTACCCCGAAATCAGGTAACTTCAATTTTATAACGCGTTATTTCTAACAAAACACAAATTACGTTATGTATTTTTTTCTTATTGTATGGAAATGATATTTAATAAATTTTGCATTCAAAATCCAGATCACAGATATTGAAGTGTTAGAATAAGGAAGTAAAAAATAAAACACAGGTTTAATTTTTTACTTCTTAATTTTTACTAAACGGGTTTGCATACATTTTTTCATTTCCAAACCGACATCAAAATGTGAAAGAGAAGTCGATTTCAGTCATTCTTAATAGTCGAAATGAACCTTCATGGAATCCAACTTCGCGCAGCGTAGTTTGTTCGACTCATTTTAAGAGCAATGATATGTATTATACTATAAAAGGGTTACGTCGAATAAAGCAAAACTTATATACCAAAGGTTTCAAACTTTCTATATATTAAAATTTTAGTTAACATAGTGGAAGTTTTCAAACTTAACTTAAAAATTAAATAGTCTCTCTAATGTATCAATAATAATTACCTACTCTTAAAGATTTTAGAATATCTATGCTGATATTGACAAACGAATTTACATTATATTATTAAATAGCATAGCGTTAACGTTAACTCTATAACGTCGTAACGTTAAGTTATTGGGGTGTTTTTAATGACTATGGTCACACTGGCACGCACACTACGATTGCTAAAAATCGGCTTCACTTTGTTATTCAGCGAACTCCGTCTTTACTTTTTATTTGGTCTGAGATAATACTCGTACAAGAAGCAATTGCATTCTTTGCACAAAAAATATGTAGTATGGCATCATAATATAGAAAACTAAAAATTATAATATATATAGGTATAAAACATTAGTATTTTATTTTTCTAAACTTCGGTACAGCAATATGATCATAAGAAGCTCCTTGGCAGTGATTAACGCGATACGGTTGTTAAGCAACTTTCGCAAGGACCGGTCACAGGATGGATGACTAAATAATTAGAGTTTGGCAAGCGAAACGTGACACCACCTATTTTTCCGTTTTCATATGGCAACAACATAGAACTGTCAGTTTGACACTACGTTAGACAATTCAAGAATATTGAATTTTGTTGTTTTTGCGAATTTGAACTTGTGTTTTTGGTTAAAAATTATGTCGAAGCCGATAAAAAGTTCATCGAGGAAACTTCTTTCCATCATGATTGACAAGTTTACTGAAGTGAAAACTGAATTAAATAAAAATTTCATGGAGAAATTACAACGATTAGATAAAGTTGTATCTTTTTTAGGTTAGTTTTGTATTATAATTTTGATACTTTCGTTTTAATTTTCTGTAATTAACTAAACAGATATTTTTTATAAAATATTGCTCTATTTCAGATAACTGTGATGGTGATATTCAACCAATAATGGAGGAGATAAATGCAATAAAAACTTTAGAAAAACAAGAAATGCTGAATTCGGAAACGCAGTACTTACAAAAAATTTCTTCAATGACAGGTCTCTTTTCTTGTTTTGATTTAAGATAGATTGATAGTATTCCTATAATATTTACATAGGTTTTTTATGATGTATTGGTTTTTATTGTTGACATCCAATGATGTCATAAGAATGTTTTGTTTAACAAGGAAATTCACAGAATTCATGAAACTAATCAAACCATGTAATTGTTATACATGCTAAATATGCACATAAACTTAACTAAATTAAACATAAATTGCATTCATAGTTGAATAGGTATTTAAATTATTTTGATGTATGTGTCTATCATTATTTGCTTTTAAATACATTTAACATATCTTTGTTTCAAAGTGTTTAATCTTTTATAGATGTAAGTATAAGGACACTAAGAAGGATAAAAAATGAAGCATTAATTAATAAAGGAAAATGGGACACTCCTGGGAAAAAACGACCTCATCAACCAACAGTGTCTGCTTTAGATAATTTTGATTTAAGTGCAATTCGGAATAAAGTAAATGAATTTTACTGTGTGAAAAAAATTGTTCCAACATTAAGAAGCCTTCACAATGAATTAAAAGATGCAATAGGATTCAGTGGTAGCCGTGAGACTTTACGAAAAATTATGCTTAAGAATGGATTTTCTTTTAAAAGCAATGAAAATGAACGTTCTATGCTTATAGAAAAATACCAGATTTCTGCATGGAGGCACAAGTATTTGAGAGAAATAAATATAAAACGAAACGAAGGAAAGCAAATTGTGTACCTTGATGAAACTTATGTACATCAGAATTATAAAGTTAAAAAGTCTTGGCAAGGACCTTCAACAACTGGTGTCACTACAAAGATATCCTCTGGAAAACGGCATATTGTTGTGCATGCTGGATCTGAGGAAGGTTTTGTGCCTGGTGCATTATTAGTGTTCAGTAGTAAATCCAAATCTGCTGATTATCATGATGATATGAACTCATCGAACTTTATGAAATGGGTCAGAGAAAAATTAATACCAAATTTAAGTAAGCCCAGTGTAATTGTTATGGATAATGCCAGCTACCATATAAAACAAATCAATAAACCGCCTATAATGTCTAATACCAAAGCAGATATCCGTAAATGGCTTGTAAATAATGGAATACATTTTGAGGAATATCAGACAAAGGCAGAGTTAATGTGTTTGGTTAATGATAAGAAAACATTGCCTGTATATGAAGCTGAAGAGATTTTAAAAGAACATAATCATGAACTTTTATTGCTGCCACCGTATCATTGTGACTTAAACCCAATAGAGATGGTTTGGTGTCAAGCAAAAAGAAAAATTGCAAGCAGAAACATTGGAATACCAGGAAAGGAAATGGAAAACTTAATAATAGAGTGTTTTAACTTAATTACCCCTAGTGACTGGAAGAAATACACTGATCATGTTTTAAATGTCGAAAATGATTACAAATTAAAAGATGGCATTGTTGAAAACGAACTTGAAAAATTTATTATATCTGTTGGTGCAGACAGTAGTGAAGAGAGTGACTCTGATGATTCCTTGTCATTGTTATCAGGTGTAGAATATTTAGAAACAGATTTTGACTATGAATCAGACTAAAGTATTTTTAGTCTGATTCATAGTCAAAATCTTATCTTAAATTTTCTATTGTGATTAACATGATGATTTTGTGACACCTGTATTATGTAATTTATCCATGGCACTTAATTGTAACAAAAATAAATGTTTTTTTTATTGTAATCTGGTGTTTATATTGACTAATTTAATTTGATAGATAGTGGTTCTGGATCAGAGCAAAAGGTTGTGATGAAAATCCCTTAGGAGACATGTATGTGTTATGAACACATTATAAATATAAGGGCCAGAAATCAAAATTGGCTAACATCACATTTATTAAAAAAATGTGGCCAGAGTCGCCCATATTCATTACAAAAAAACAAAGAAGTCGTTGCAAAAAACACCCTTTTAATTAATGACAAATATGAATTTTTAATATTATAAGTGCTGTTAGCCAATAGGTATAACGAATGGGTTAAAAAAAAGATTCGATTTAGTCCGTCAGTCAGATAATAGAAAAATATTGGATACGTATTTTTTTTCGCTTTAATTTAACAACAAATGGCTTAAGAGGTACTATGCGACGACTTCAAATATGCTTTGCAACAATGTTACTTTAATACAGTTTATCGATACGAAATCAAGTGTCAAAATGGAGTCCAGTGGAGAATGCCGATATTGACATTTCGAAATTGCTCATCATTGATAGAGAATACGAAATAGTGATTTTGACACAATCAAAGTGTCTATTTTTTACGGTGATGACGATTCTTGGTTGTCAGTTGAGTTAGTGAATAGGCCTACTGATATGCTGTTAACTGTACAATTAAGAACAGTCACGCTTTAGTCAAATGTTCCAAAACAAATAATTTTAATTGATATCTAAATGTTAAGATTAAATATAATTAATAAAAGTATCAAAATTATTTTGCAGTACTACATTCAGTGTTTACTGCTTAAGAATTTTTGAAATTGCCGCCCTTTTCTTGTGACACGTTTCGCTTGCCAGACTCTATTCCGTGCTTCGGAAGGCATATTAAGCAGTTTGTCCCGACTGCTTCTGTAGTCATAACACCCGCCAATACGCAATGGGCCCGCGCATTACATTCGATTCCATCAATAGGGAAGGCTTGAGGCCCAGCAATG